AAGCCGTTCGGAAAACATGAGAGAGAGAGAGAGAGAGAGAAAGCGAGAGAGACGGCGTGTTTTTGTTAGGAGAACGGGAAGGAGGTCTTCAGATGAAGAAAAGAAGTAGAGACCCCTGTCTAGCACCACTTCCGACACGCCATCACCCCCACCCTCAACCCCCGGATACCCATTTCCGCCCCCGGCCCTATCCCAGAGTCTTTAGGCTACGCGAACAAACCGTTTACAGATTTTTGCCAGGCCTTCTAGTCGACGCATTAATGGCTTAAGAAGTTTAAAGGGGGTGGGTAAGGGCCGTCTGTGGTTTTTTTCGGGAGAGAGAGACAGCGAGAGAGAGAGAGAGAGAGAGAGAGAGAGAGCAAGCCGCAGAAATTCCGCGACACTCCTATGACCAGATACCCACTGCGTTAAGCGAACCAGGTCTTTGACGCTCAGGCTCCATTCAGAAGGGGCCCACGAGTAAAATCGGGTTTTCCCCGGCGCTCCTATGGACATATGTACGGGAGGGGCCCTTTGATAAGTGGGGGCTTTCAACTGGGGGGTCATCGATCTCCTCGGGAGCCTCAGGATACTCAAAAATCTATCAGATAAAAAATCTAAGCTCTCTCTGGCTCTCTCTCTCTCTCTCTCTCTCTCTCTCTCTCTGAAACAACACCAAAAAGCAACTGAGCAGCGGCCATTTTGGGCCATTTGGCCCCCGCGGGTCATAAAGTCCACAGGCCATGTCTGGGTCCCAGGTGGAATTTGTGCAAAATGCAGAATAACGAAGCCGGAGGGCCGAAAATGGAACCCACAATCAGGTTGATTGAAAGCGAAAAATGCGGGTCGGGATCACCTTGCGCTCGGAGCCATAATTGCATAGCAAAAATCGCAAAAATGAGGCTGGAATCTGAATAAGCCTAAGCCTGAGCTTAACCCTGATAAGTCGAAAGCCTAACCTGCGTGCCCATGTAGCAAAATTGAGAAATGGCGAAATGCCGACACTCGAAATCCGGCATGCCAAAATCCCGACAGACCAGAATGTCGAAACTCATTGGATTCTGTGCGGGTCATTTGCGTCGCGCGGGATTTTGGGTGTCGGGATTATGGCTGTCGACATTTTGCCCTATCAGAATTTCAGCTGTCGGTATTATGGTTGTAGGTATTTTGCTCTCCCAGGAATTCCTTATCATGGTTATCCTGCCGGATTTTGGCTGTCGGTATTTTGTTCACGCTGTTTTACTGCGTGATTTTCGTGTCGGTAGCAGTCCGGTTGAAATTCTACTTGTCGAAATTTTAGCAATCGGTATTTCGAATTTCGGAATTATCAGGGAGAGTTGGATGCACTAATGAAACGATCTGAAGCTCGCGATTCTATGGGGAAGACCTTCGAATCAGGACATGCCAAGCCGGAACCACGATGCATTAATGATATCTATTTAACAGCCGGCTGCTAAATAGGTATCATTAATGCGTGAATAACCTAGTCAATTGCTGGAAGCCGGGGGAACGTGTCGGAATGGGGCAACAGGAGGAAGCGGGGGGTTTAGGCCTGGGAAAAGCTGTGTTTTTGGGGAGCGTCAGCCCAAGATTGACCTTTAAAGGTATGGGGAATTCAGCTGGAAAGATAATTTGATGGCGTAATGGGATAGAAACGCGTTTAAAAAGGGCTGGGAAAAGCTAAACTTGTTCTGAATTGGTGCGGTAACGGTTTAAACTATCTCACATCGTAAAGGAAGAGAGAGAGAGCGAGAGTGAGAGAGTGAGTGGCAGTGAGAGGGAACACCTAAAAACTATCAAATTCCCCGCCGGCAGCGCCCGATTAATTCTGTTTATGGAAATGCGGGCCCAGCCGAAAAGGGCCACTCGATTGGGGCCAACTTTTTGGTCTTATTAAGCCCCTCGCCGAACGCGGGGCCCTCACGATTCAACTTTGGCCTCGCGGCGCCATTTGGGGGCCCTAATCGAGGACTGGAGGGCCCCCGGAGGGTGAGCTTGAACTCTGCTCGCATGAAAGGTGCTTTGAAGGGAAAGTTACAGAGAGCGAGAGAAAGAGAGAGATGAATGAGAGGGGAGAGATAGGAAGACAGAGAGACAGAGAAACAGAGAGAGAGAGAAAGAGAGAAAGAGAGAGAGAGAGAGAGAGAGATAGATAGATAGAGAGATAGAGAGATATAACATAATTTTTCAAATAACACGTAGCTGGAGCGTCGCGGAACCGAGATTTCAATGCGGAAATTGCGTCTAAATAAACATCTGAGAGTTCCGTGACGTTACCCCCGGAACGTTTGCAAAAACTTGAAATTGCTGGACTCGAATCTTGAGTCCCGACCATTCTATAGCCATAAAATAATGTATTTTCGCGAAGATTACTGTAGGCGGGGCGCCTTTCTAAAAAGAGCCTCCTGTGCTCATGTGAGGTGCACTTTTTGAGGGCGTTGTGGGGGGAAGGTGGGGGCCCAATTTCCGGCTGAGACACTATAGGGCGAAGGGTAAATGCCTTCCGGAAATCGAGGGGGGAATTATTAAGTCGAACCGGCCTCCGAATAACGGCCCGGAAAACGATGCACTAATAGGGGGTAATCTGCGGGTGGGGGTAGGTAATGAAGCTACGCCGGAAATAGGCGTCTGAAATTGGTGAAATTTTGGGTTTAAGAGGGCCGGCACGTGACGAGTTTGATGCCGTAATGTATTCAACGCTTGGGTTTGCGAAAAAAAAGTCTCTGCCGCGACGCAAACGTGACGCGAACCTTTTTCTGCCAAAATCCCAGCTGTCACGCTCCCTTTAAAGGTACCGGTCGTGATGCGACGCGACTGTGACGCACCCGAACCGCGACGCGATGCGCTCAACAATTTTTCAAAACGTTGACAAAACAAAAAACTAATCTTTGACCGATCCCCTGCCTTCACCGGTCCTTTAATGAACCGAAATGCCCAAAAGTACGAGGCAAGTTCTGGGAACACCCCAAAAAACGGTTGATTAGGGTGGACAATTCAAAGAAAAAGACCTCGAACTAGCCGCTCGTTAAGACCTAGAGGTCGGTCGATGGTTTTGGGTGCTTTTTTCTTCTTGTGTTCCAAGCTGAGGGCCCTGGGCCACATCTAGAGGGCCCTAGACAGGGCCCTTAATCGCGATGACCCCTAAAAGAAACAAAAGAAGCCGAAGAAATCAACATGTCTCATCCGGTGGGCCCTAACCCCCCACGAGGGAGGCCCAAATGAAAATTGGCGCCCCGGCTAGAAATTCGAGGAATGGGGATGTTGCGCTTTTGACGTTATGTTTTGGATTCTGGGGGCGAGCTAGCAGAGACCATTGAGGAGAGCTAGCAGAGACCATTGAGGAGAGCTAGCAGAGACCATTGAGGAGAGCTAGCAGAGACCATTGAGGAGAGCTAGCAGAGACCATTGAGGAGAGCTAGCAGAGACCATTGAGGAGAGCTAGCAGAGACCATTGAGGAGAGCTAGCAGAGACCATTGTGGAGAGCTAGCAGAGATCATTGGGGAGAGCTAGCAGAGACCATTGAGGAGAGCTAGCAGAGACCATTGAGGAGAGCTAGCAGAGATCATTGGGGAGAGCTAGCAGAGACCATTGGGGAGAGCTAGCAGAGACCATTGAGGAGAGCTAGCAGAGACCATTGGGGAGAGCTAGCAGAGACCATTGAGGAGCCACTACCGTATGCATCCAGGGGCTTTCCCCCAGTTCTTTGGTCAGTTTTTCCAAAAATGGAAGTTCAGGCCCCCCCCGCAGACTACGGGCGGAAACAAATGGCGTGTGCGGGAGATGAATGCCCCAAGCATAGGAGGGGAATTCTGAAGGGCCGGTGTTCCACAACTTGGATTGGATTGTCGGGTCTTAGGGCCCAGGCCTTGGGCCCAAGACTAGGGCCCAAAGACCTCGACGGCCCTCTCGCTCCAGGCTTCCTGTAATTAGCAGCCGTGTGTTGGGCTATCGGCCATCCATCGTCATCCCTATCGGGCAATCCGAGGCGGGGGTATTTTTTAAAGGAACGCGCAAGTCTAATGGTATATTCCCAGGACTAACTAATTTTCAATATTAATCAAATTTCGAGTTCAAAGATTTCCGAAGAACATATGCAAAAAATGCGTGGGGGAAGGAGGTGTCAAGGGGGTCGAATCTCATTTCGAGTCACGACGTCTTCAGTTTTCTCTTCTTTGGTTCTTTTTTTCCCTTTCCCGCGCTTCTTGGCGTTGTTGGTCGTCTCATTTGATTCGCGGGGTCATCCCGCCGGGTTTAAGGAAAAGAGAAAAAGTCAAGGAACGTGTCTTTTGGTTCCCCAATGGTCTCTGCTAGGTCTCCTCAATGGTCTCTGCTAGCTCTCCCCAATGGTCTCTGCTAGCTCTCCCCAATGGTCTCTGCTAGCTCTCCCCAATGGTCTCTGCTAGCTCTCCCCAATGGTCTCTGCTAGCTCTCCCCAATGGTCTCTGCTAGCTCTCCCCAATGGTCTCTGCTAGCTCTCCCCAATGGTCTCTGCTAGCTCTCCCCAATGGTCTCTGCTAGCTCTCCCCAATGGTCTCTGCTAGCTCTCCCCAATGGTCTCTGCTAGCTCTCCCCAATGGTCTCTGCTAGCCTGGTAGCAAGAAGCAGCTTACAACCAAAGCTTGAAAAAGTGCTGGTAGTGTCACGTAGTCTGGAAAAGTTGAAAGTTTGGGTTCACCCGGTTCGCGTGTGTCGCGTGACCAATTTTTGGGGCCAGGGGAGGAAGCTGATTGGGGGATGTGGGCAAAATCACCTAGGAAAAGCCGGGCTAAACGCCCGGAAAGATGTCCTTGTTATGACCCAACCAAAACACACATCTCTTGCTCTCTCGCTCTCTCTCTCTCTCTCTCTCTCTCTCTCTCCTTCTTTTGCTTTTTTCGCATGCCGTTAATTTCGGGTGCATTTAAGGTCAACATTCCAGAGCGAGATAGAGCGAGAGAGAGACAGCGAGAGAGAAAGAGAGAGAGAGAGAGAGAGAGGTTTGACCCAGCCTGGGATTCCAATCATTTATTGAATTTCTCTATTTCTCTTTCTTCAGCTGTTCCACCGACCCGCGTTCCGAGATCTTCTCCAGCGACAGGGCGAACTGAAAATATGATAATAATTCTAGAACTTTTGTACTAATTTATTACTAATAAATACAATTTTATACGTTTAAGTAATAGCAAAAAGGAAAAAGCCCCCGACTTTTTCTTCGGCAACCGGCGACTGGTCCTCTTCGCTGACTTCACTGATCCTGCTGGCGATGTGGTGGGGTTTGAAGTGCTAAAAATCAGCTTGAAGTTTATCTCTCGCTCTCTCGCTCTCTCTCCCTCTCTTGCTGACCTTTGATCTCCCCAAGCTGACGTCCTCTTCCTCATGGTCCACCTCGTGCACCACGTCGTTGGTCAGAACCGAGGGAGCTGAAAGAAATAATGGCTTTCCTTGTTCTATCTCGCTCTCTCTCCCTTTCTCTCTCTCATCTCTCTCCTCACCAAAAGATATGTCAAACGGTCCCTCGGTCGACGAGTGATATCGGGAGACCTGCGACGGATACCGCGACATTCCTATCGACGCCGTCGGGGAGCAGAAGCTGTACTTGGGGGATTCGGTCGGATTCGGGGAGACCGGGGCAAAGTTGGTGGAGTGCGAGCGGACACGGTGGGCCCTGGAACGTGGGTTTTATCTGAGGGGAGAGAGCGAGAGACAGTTCTGTCCAAAACCCACGGTCGCAGGCTAAACTCGCGCGTCTTCTTGCGCGGCCGCAAATTTGACATGAAGCTCTGGGCAAATGTGGGCACGGACTCCTGAAAATTACAATTTTGAGGTGCTGAATCAAGGATTACGGTAGATGGGGCAGCTGATAGCGGTTGTAGCTCGACCATCTTCACGTCGTCGTCGGGTTTGGCTAGGCTGAAAATTCGAATTTTTCGGCGATATCTTAAAGTTTCGATTTTAGGTTTGTGGTTTTCTCAAAGGAGAGCGAGAGAGAGAGTGAGAGAGAGAGAGTTGTAGAGTGAGAGATAGCTAAAGAGACATAGAGCCGCCCACTTACTTGACCTGTGCCACCGATCCGACAAGCACATTCTGGTGATGGCCATGCTTCTGGCTCTCCTCAGAGTAGATTGGGCCCTGCTGAGTCTGAAATGTCTTTCACAGCCACAAAATCTTGAGGGTACCTTAAACTGGTCCATGTTCAGCACCGGGTGCTCGTCGTAAGCGTCGACGATGGCCAGACCTGTCTGAAAAGCTGCAAATTCAAGATTGTCGGCTATGGCTAACCGCAATATTCTTGTCGATAAGAAAGTTGCACTCGAAATCGTCGTCGTCCTCGCCGAACGGGTTGAGCAGCGCCTCGGCCACCTAGAGTTTGCCGTTTCTCTCTCTCTCGCTCCCTCTCCCTCTGCCTCGATTTCTCTAATCCCTACCCTCATCCACCCGACGAAGAAGATGAACTCCAGAACCGTCATCATCGGGAAGTACAGGTCGATCTGGCAAAGGGGTAAAGTGTCGGATTTCTAAGCATACAACTGTACCTGCGTGCGATTCGGACTATCCTGACCGACGATAAATTGACGGCCTACGATACAGATGAGGAAGTAGACGCGCACCGACAGGAACACGACCTGAAAATCGCAATTTGGGGTACTGTAGGTAGGTCTCTAAGAGTCGTACGGTAGGCTACGCTAGGATACCTGTGGATAGGCGAGTGGGATCGGGACCCAGTCGAAATTGCATAGGGTTTGGAGGTTGTTGCGGAAGAATTTGAATTCCTAAAAGAAGTGGATCAGAGAGAGAGAGGGGGAGAGAGAGAGAGGAAATGAGAGAGAGAGAGAGAGTTAGCTCCTTACATTCAGCAAATAATTCATATGGCTGACGTGCATCAACCCGTGCACGTTTGGGTCCTGGTTTGGCTGGCTGATGTCGCGGAGCTAAATTTACCATAAAACTTTGGTCTCATTAATTTAATAGTATTGAAGGTGAGGTATCATATGTACCTTAAAGCACAGCGCACACGCCCAATTTATCGGCACCCAGTACTTGTTGTAGTTGTCGTCGAGCTTCACTTTTTCGAGCATTTCCAACTCGTGGTCTTGGAGAAAACCTGAGAAATCGGATGAGAGAAAGAAAGAGAGAGAAAGAGAGAGAGAGAGAGAGAGAGAGCGAGAGAGAGCGAGATAGAAAACGAGACCCACCAGCCTGTACGATGGAGCGCATCGTAGGGAAACGCCGCCGCACCGAAATGGCGATATCTCGGAAGACCAGCACCTAAAGAAGCGCATGAGTTTTTATGGAGCTTCAGCTGGAGTGACAGACCAGATAGGAGCTCGAACCGCAAAAACGATGCTTTTCCCACCTGCGAGAGCACCAGATAGCGAACCATGGAACGGCGGATGATGCGCGTCCTCTCGTCGTTACCCCTCACCAGGGACGCCGTGGTTAGGGCAGCGCTGGAAAAATTAGTTTCTAGCTCCCCAATGGCCTCTGCTAGCTAGCCCTTCAAATTAAACCGTGTAAATCACTAACTTTTCAATATATCCCATATTGAGCAACACTTGCCGCCACCTGTCCACCACCTGACTGACGAAGAAGCCGAGCATGAAAGTGAGCGGGATCCTCGACACCCTCGCATTCACATGGGCCACCAGCCGCTCGAAGCTCCTGTAGATGGGTGTAGGTGGAGGGATACGGTATTTGTACCGACTCTTGGCCACGATGTGATAGCACGACATCACTGCGGTAGATGAACATGGTGACGTAGTAGCAGCCGAGCCAGATGAGAAGTTCGGTGAGTACTGCAAAGGATAGTTTTAAGTGGATATGTGTTTTCGGACCTGATTTCCAGACACTGCCCCTCCATCTGAAGACCAGCTTCACCCATGAGCCAAGCGAGACGTTGGCCACATCCCCGTGATAGGGGACCGTCATCTGGGGTATGGATTTAGGTGGAGAGAGAGCGAGAGAGACAGAGAGAGTGAGAGTGAGAGCGAGTGAGAGATGGGGAGAGAGAGCCAGAGAGATGGGGAGAGAGAGAGAGCGAGAGAAAGAGAGAGAGACAGAGAGAGAGACAGAGAGAGAGACAGAGAGAGAAAGAGATATGGAACATCATTTTCAAAGACTTTGCGTAAGCTAATAAAAAAATTTCATCGATTCTCCTCAATGATAGCTCCTACCTTGCCTGAATCTTTTCATCAAAAAACCCGTGAAAATCAAAAAAGAAAATCGAAGAAAAGACGAAGAAAAAGGATAGATTCCCAGCGTCGTTACCAGTGCGCGCCGACATTGATGGGGGCGAGCCAAGGACACATCGCGGGGCTGGGCCGATCTATAGATCAATCGCCCATCCCCTCTTATCCGCCTATTTCCTGATCTTTTCTTCGTTTTTTTTTTGCGCCTTTCAGGTACAGCAATAAAAAGCCACTGTCGAGCGGCTAATTGCAGGCAAATACATCGATGCATCGAGACAGTATGCGAACTGGCAGAGCCCATTGAGGAGAGCTAGCAGAGGCCATTGAGGAGAGCTAGCAGAGACCATTGAGGAGGGCTAGCAGAGACCATTGAGGAGGGCTAGCAGAGACCATTGAGGAGAGCTAGCAGAGACCATTGAGGAGGGCTAGCAGAGACCATTGAGGAGAGGTAGCAGAGACCATTGAGGAGAGCTAGCAGAGACCATTGTGGAGAGCTAGCAGAGACCATTGAGGAGAGCTAGCAGAGACCATTGTGGAGAGCTAGCAGAGACCATTGAGGAGGGCTAGCAGAGACCATTGAGGAGGGCTAGCAGAGACAATTGAGGAGAGCTAGCAGAGACCATTGAGGAGAGCTAGCAGAGACCATTGAGGAGAGCTAGCAGAGACCATTGAGGAGAGCTAGCAGAGACCATTGAGGAGAGGTAGCAGAGACCATTGAGGAGGGCTAGCAGAGACAATTGAGGAGAGCTAGCAGAAACCATTGAGGAGAGCGGACAGACCCCTATAGGGGAAAAATGATTTCCACCCCCGTTATTTCTCCCCCCGTTAAGCAATCTTTACCCACTTTGAGTAGAATGCAAGTTATTTGTGATGTTTCCATTCGACTTTCGAGCCAAATACTTTATTAATGACACTGTAGACACACGAAAATACACGAGAAACGACAATGACATCAAGAAATATGTACATTTGGATTGCGAGTGGCCAGTATGAGGAATAGAAAACATGACACACAAAGGGGACTGGGATGTGCTTTTGTCTTCGAGTTGTTCGGCGTAGATGACGGTGTTGATGTGGATGACGGCGTAGATGACGGTGGCGTAGATGTTGGAGGCGGTCGGGGGTTCAGCGCCGGGCGGGACGACGAGGGGGAGGGGCGCCGCGGGTGTTGTTCGTCGACTTGGCCGGGATGTGGCGGGTGGCCCTCAGCTTCTTTTGCGCCGCCTGAAAAAGGATAGCTTGAAACGATTTTTGTCCAAAATTTCGACTTTTTAAAGGGAGTCTGACATTAACCTGCGCGCCCTCCTCCTCGTCGTCGCAGACGGTGACTGACGACGGGCAGTCCCTGTCTGCCCGCAGGTGCCGCTCCGGCCGCTCCATCTCGGAGTCGGAGAGCTGGGTCTCGTCCTCCTCCTCGAGAGCGACCCACTAAAAACCAGGGGTTTAATTCACTAAATTAATTAACAAAAATAACTTAATTAATTACTTAACTAAAGTTATTACGTTCACATTTAAGTTACTTTAATTTAAATTTAAGTTGAAATTTATAGTTTAAGTACTATGAATTTTAAAATATATTATATCACTTTTTTGATAGTTTTTTCAGTTTTAAATATAGCCAAATATAGCTTTGCTAAAACTCACCTCATCGCCGACTCCGGGGCTGTCGTCGAACTCCCAGTACTCGTGGCCCTCATCGTCCCAGGTGAAGGCGACGGGCTTCCATTCCTCCTTCTCTTCGCGCTCCCGCCGGTGTGTCTGAAAATAGCACAAGTTCAAGGCGTTCAACGATCCGACTTACCCACTGACCAGTGTGGCCATTGAACCGCTTCAATCCGCGGTGATACTTGAAAGTGCCGGGCTGCAAGACGAACGGTGCCTCCTCCTGAAAATTGTAAATGTCTCCATTTTTCGATCGAAATCTCGACTTTTTCACCGTTTTTTAAAGTTGTTAGATAGTTTTTCTGGTTTAAAGATGGTGAGATATTACTGAAAACCTTATTAAACACTTACGCCCCCCCCCCGATAATGCAAAAGACCCCAACAATGTTGAAAATTAGCTTTAAAGCTAGAATATTTGCTTTTAGATGACCAACCTTTGATGAAGATGCATGTGGACTGGTCATGCTCGGGCTGGCCATGCTCGGGGTTGCCTTGCTTGGAGTGGCCTTGCTCGTGGTGGCCCTGCTCTGAGGTGTCGTCGTTGCACTTGAGGTGGTGGTGGGCTTCGAGGTGACCGGCGTGTTGTTCTTGGACAGGAGCGCTTCGAGGTCGTTCGTCTTCTGTTTCTTGACACTCTTCTTCTTCTTGATGATGTAGAAGGAGACGGTGGCGGTGGTGACGATGAGGAGGGCGGTGAGGATGAGCACAATGACCACGATCAGCCACCACCAAGATGACTTCTCGCCGTCGAGCGTCGGGGGCGCCGCGGTCGAGCTGAAAAGGAAGGGGTTGATTGAAGTCATGAATGGTCTCGAATATCTCTCCTCAATGGTCTCTGCTAGCCCTCCCCAATGGTCGCTGCTAGCCCTCCTCAATTGTCTCTGCTAACCCTCCTCACTTACTTGGTGGTGGGGGCGTCGGACACCGGCGTCTTCATGCAGTATATGTCGATCGGGCCAGCGCAATCTAGCTTGTTCGAGCCGTCACAGCGCAGTTGCTCATTCTTGCTACTGCAGAGCACAGCAATGCGATCGCTGGCCGTCGCGACGTGGATGGTGCTGCTCGGCGGAACCACGAAAACTTGATGGCAGATGTGGACTTCGCTGCCGTTCGTCAGCTTGACCATGGTCCCATTGTAGATCACTTGAATGGTGGCGTTGCCGGCGCCCCTTCCGCCTGAGGGTAGCCGCTGACCTTTGCCATTCCCAGGCAAGATGAGGGAGCCGTTGCATGTAGTGGTGGATGGTGACGGCTCGGTGGCGTTCTTCGGGCTCGAGCAGCTCTCGCACGGCACCTCAGGTGTTGTTGTCGTGTCTGTTGTGCCGGTGGTCGAGAATGCGGATGGCGGAAGCTGAAAAAAAACGGTAAAATTCAGCGAAATACCGACATACAGAAGCCGACGCCATCAGGGAGTTCAAACAAACAAAAAACTGAAAAATAATACCCACAGTAGAAAACTGGGTGGACACTGGCTCGTCCTGCTGCGGCGTCGTCGTGATGTTCTGGCAGTCTCCGGGAAGCGACGAATTCTTGCAGCCGACCATGTCGGAAATGTTGGTCTTCTTGTCGTTGCCGGTAGGGGCCGTTGGGTCGGTGATTTCCTACAAACAATTAGAATAATATTAATGCTTCAGTAGATACTCACGATTTCAGTGGAGGGTGATGGTGGGGCCGTACTGCCAGAGGGCGTCGGCGAGGACGATGGCGGCGAGTGGTCTTGGACTTGAGGAGGCGGGCTATTCTTGGGAAGCAGCGTCATCTTCGGGTCGTTCGTGCGGGGCGGCTTGAACACCTTCGGGTTGTCCGTCTCATTCCCCTCGTCGGTGATGATCGGCTGCGGAACGATGAAGAGCAGCAATGCCACCTAAACAATTATTACTTTGCAGGGCTTCAAATAATAGCCAACCATTGAAGCAATCCTCATCGCCATCATCTTGTCTTCGATCGTCAAGCTCGAATTCGAAGGCTGTCGACGGAAAATGAGAAGTGATTGAACAGACAAAAATCCCCTTTTATATGCTGTAATGTATGCTAATAACGATAATAAAAAATAACTGAAATAATATGCTGTGATGTATGCTAATGCTAAAATCTAATCCTTCGGCTAAACAATGCATTCAAATAATGTATTCGAATTGGAAAAAAGGCTGACGCGTATCTCTCTCTGTATCTCTCTCTCTCTCTCTCTCTCTCTGTGTGTGTCTCGCTCTGTCTCTATCCCCTCCTAGATCCCTCCCTCTCTCTCTCTCCCCGGTGCCTGCGTAGATAGAGGACGGATAAGAGACAACAGTTGGCCGCCTGTACGGCCTGAGCAAGTCGAAAGGGCGGTCCGCACTTTCTATCTAGCTCTCTATCACTCTCTCGCTCCCCCCACTCTCTCGCTCCCCCCCTCTCTCTTGCCCAAAGCAATATTTATCAACATCTTTTATAACCATGAATAAAACTGCCGGAATTTTCTCGTCAAATGTCGGGTCGATTTGCAGCCATAGTGAAGATGAACAACAGCACGAAGAAATGCGGCTTGTTGGCGTCGTTGTTTGGTGGCAAAGTAGCCGGACTGAAATTGATGCATATTGATGGAATATCTGAACATCTACTTGCCTAGTTGTTGTAGTGGTGGTAGTGGTGGTTGTTGTGGTAGTGGTTGTAGTTGTAGTTGTCCACCCACTGGTCAGCTTGCAAAACACGTTGATCCCGTCGCTGCATGGGAAGGGCATCCCATCCGCCTCGCATTCAATTTCGGAGAGCCACCCGTCACAATAAAAATCAAGCATGCCGGGTTTGTCCCAAAAGGTGAGGTTGCTGTTGGGCGGTATCGTAAAGTTTTGATTGCAGAGGTGGATGAAGGTACCATCCTCGAGTCGAACCGTCATCAAACTGCCGGCGATTGGTCTGACATAGACCGTCGCTTCTCCGACTATCAGCGTTCGATTGGGATATTTGCCAAAATCTGGTCGCTCCCCGTCGTGCAGCATTATAATCTGGCCCGTGCATGACGAGGTGTCCGGGGGGATAGCTGCTGAATTAGCGGCTCTGATATTCCTTGAATTCCTCGATTCTGTGCCCTCCTTCTCATCGAATGCTTGACCAACGACGGGTGGCCAGTAGATGAGGACAAGTTGAAGCTGAAAATCACATGATTTTGAGGGTTTTTGCCAAGGGTTTCAGTTTGTTTTACGTCCGCCTCCGACTGGCGGGCATGCTCAACATTCAGCCGACTGACCAGGAAGATAAACCTGCCGAGGCGAAACATTGGGGCAGAAAAATAAAAATTCCATTCGAATTGGCTAGGCTAATTAGCTAAACATCAACTCCCCGCCATCTCACACTGAGAACAACCGGAAGTATGGGATTGAGCTGGATTTGATCTGATGTGAACATCGTACTAGATACTAATTTATGGATGTTAAGTAGAGGGATATTCAAAGGATTGATGTAAGCTAGCACAGACCGATGGAGGAGGAATAGTAGACCATTCGGGAGAGCTAGCAGAGACCATTGAGGAGAGCTAGCAGAGACCATTGAGGAGAGCTAGCAGAGACCATTGAGGAGAGCTAGCAGAGACCATTGAGGAGAGCTAGCAGAGACCATTGAGGAGAGCTAGCAGAGACCATTGAGGAGAGCTAGCAGAGACCATTGAGGAGAGCTAGCAGAGACCATTGAGGAGAGCTAGCAGAGACCATTGAGGAGAGCTAGCAGAGACCATTGAGGAGAGCTAGCAAAGACCATTGAGGAAACGTGAAATCCATATATCCGACGCATCAAGTAAGCCATTTATTCGAGCGCAACACAGATTGGAAAAAGGGAATTCGACATCATTTGCAGTGGTTTAAGCGAGGCGAGACAAGTAGAATTCGGTAGCGCGCCGTCAGGGCGGGGAGCACGGCTTCACGGCGGGGCGATCACCTCGAGGTTCTGCGTCTGAAAGGGGGTGATGTTCAACGGTTCTGATAACGCGAAAATTTCAGCAATTTCGCACCTCCTCGCCGCGGAGCAGGGTGGACAGCTTGAAGAGGAGGGAGCCGTTCGGCTTGAAGATCGTGTAGTTGACGGCTACCCAACCGGACGAGTCGGGCGACGAGACGTCGAGCTGAACAGGTTTTTGTGTTCTGCTTCGGAATCTCGTCTCCACCCACCGTGCCGGGCACCATCTGATTCTGGCCAATCTCATAGTGCAGCGCCATCTTCACCGGCTCGTTCTTGATAAACTCGCGGTCCTCGCGCCCCTGCTTGAAGACGATCTGCAGCTGCTTCTCGCTGTCGTGCTGCGGGAACGAGGTCGCATACTTCACCGACACCTTGGCCTAAAAACGCAAGTAACCACAGCTCGTACTCGCCCACCTTTCCACCCTTCATCGACAAGTCCGGATCAACATCAGCCTCGGAGGCCTCGGATCCCTCGGGCGAGCTGTTGAGCTCGATCTCCTGGCGGCAGACGCGCTCCGGCTTCGGCTTTTTCTGCCGCTTGCCCGTGTCAGATTTTGGGGGCTGGGGGCACTGGGGTGGCGGGAGGCGGAGGGCCTTGCACGGGCCGTAGTCCTCCGGGCCGCACGGTTCCGAGTTCTGGAGTGAGCATGAGCTTAGCCGGTTTTTAGGTGACAAACCAGGCACGAGTTGGTCTGGGCGCGGGTGGCGGGCTGGGGCTCGAGAAGGCTCTGCTGCTGCTCCCGTTCCGACTGAAAATCGGTACTGGACCATTAGCGGGGGGTCAGGATTAGCGGGAGACTAAGTTGTTTTGAAAAAAAAATAGATTTATAACATTTTTCCTTTTTGGTCCTTTTATAAATTTTAACGAGGATTTCGAAACTTCCTTTAATTGTCTATTTTCTTTTCGCATCCAAAAACGGTCGAATGCCTTAAATTTGTTAAAGGGCCGTCCGGGTACCGGGAAAAATTGCCGCCCCCCCGCTAAGAGTCCAGAACCAAAAACCCTTCAAGAATTTTGAGGTACTGGCCTGTTCGCAGGGGGGCATTCAATTTGAATTCATTACCTCTGTAACGACAAATCCAGCCGAAGCCGAGAAGGCCGAAGCCGCGACGGTCGACTGACGGCTGGCCTGGTAGCCGATCGACTGGTGGGGAGGCTGATAGCTCCATTTCTCGAGCTTCTGCTGCTGCGGCTTCGACTGCTGCCGCTGCGAGGATGGCGCTGGATGCGAGGTGGCGGCGGCGACGGAGCTGACGCCGCAATTGCATCCGGAGCAGCATCCGCCCGCGCCCGGTTTCCCGTCCTTCGCCGGCTCGACGACGGACACCGTCTGCGTGCGGTACTTTCTGGAACATAAAAGTGTTTCATTTGAATTATAAAAAAGCTTTAAAATCGTGAGATGTCGGTAAGGGCACAGTTTACCCGCCCCAAGCCGGCTGGAATTTTTTGTATCTCGACTTCCCATGGACCAGTAGACGTGTAAAGTATACCAAAATGTTCAGCTAAGGATCCTGAGAATTTTGGTATACCTTACAGACCTGTAGCGTAACGGGCAGCCGAGAAACAAAAGTTTAGGGTCGACTGGGTGAGGGTTATCTGCAGTTTAAGCTAGCCCCGAAATCCCCCACAACATACCCATCCTGGTCGAGCTGCACGTTGGGCCCCTTCGGTAGGAAGCGCTTCTCGTTGATGAGCTCGTAGATCTGGGCGGCGGTGTAGAAGAGCTCGTTGACCGTCTCGTCGACGCGGACGATCGCCCGCTCGGCGCGTGGGTCCATTACTACGAAAGTAACTGCGCTTCATGGTCCTTTCGATTTTCATAGGTTTGAAGTTATTTAAATTTGCTCAATTTCTGGTTTGCTAATTTATTCAAGGAAATTGAATATTCAATTCTACTTTTCCGTCACCAGAATTCCAGAATTCGTATTGTCTCTGCGTGATGCGATAAACCAAAAATCAAAATATTTATTTGCATTGTTCCGGCGGCTTCAGTTCGTCTGGGCGCAGCGCTAAAAATGGTGCATTAGCGATTTCCAGACGTTCGACTACCTGCCAAAAGTTGGGGATTACGTAGGAGGCGTAGCCCTGGTTGAAGATTTTCCACGGACATCCAGACGCGTAGTGCGAGCACTCGTCCAGCGTGTACGTGATGGAGCGGTAATCCGTGTAGGGACCATCCGAAAATAGGACCTAAACTTTGTAGCTTGTAGCCAGCCTGATTCAGTGGAGGCTACGGACGTAACCACGCTGGTTAAGGATAACAGCAAATCTTAAAGTTGTATCCGAAAACTGCAACAAATAACGTTTTTGTGCTGACCTGAACGTAATACTGTCCACTCGTATCCTTCCACAGCTCGTGCACCAAATGCGACGCGTAGCCCGGGTTGTTCACCCCGAGAACACTGTACATATTGTGGTAGATGCGCAGCAGGGCGGTGATCGTCGAATCGTGCTGAAAACCAAGGATTCATATGCCCAATTGTGGACCCACAGCCGAGTAGACGTGGAATTTCCAGTGCGGCTTGTTGTTGACGGCATCCGTCATGCTGGACAGCATCTGGCCGAGCAGCTCTCCGCTCCGCAGCGCTAGCAGCTCCGTGTTCTCGTTGTTGCCGATCCCGGGCACGGCTAAATAAGTTTTTAGCATATATTTTATTAAATAGGTATTAATTAATTAATTAATAGGTATTAAATAGGTATTAAATATAGGTTTTTCCGCCAGTATAAAAATTCTTACCGAGTTTTTGCAGCTCTTGAAAGCTTTTCCGCTTCAAATAAAAGTAATTTTTGCTTAAAAATTCGTTAAAACACTTAATATTAGACTACTGGGCATATCTGTACTCGCAGGAAAAATTCGGTTCCCCCCTCCCGCCCCGGAACCCTAAAAACCCTCTAATCATCATAACATAAGCGCAAGAACCTATTTTGATAACCCTTTTTTTTTCAACGCACCGCTCCCATCCAAATAATCGTCGGTGTAGATGAACATCTCGTTCAGCTTCGACCAAATCGAGTCGCTCAGCCACGGTGGCATCGTCATGTTGTGCGCGCGCTAAACTTTTGATGAAGAAGGCCTTTTCTTAAGTAGCTACCTGACAATAGAGCGTGTCCCAAAGCTTATTGATGCTGTAGGCGTCATTGATCGGCATCCCGGCCCAGGTGGTCAGTTGATTCAGGAAATCCTGCTTTCCAGCATTAATTCTACAGCCAGTAATTATACCTGGTTTTTCAAAAGGTACTGCACATAACCAGTATCCTTCTCCCGACGTCCTCTGAGCAGGCCGATGCGTTTGCAATCGCTCGAGCCCTCCTCGTCGAGCTATGAAGTATCGGTGTTGTACTTTTTGTTCTCGCCTACCGTGTCTTCCGGCCCGGGGACCGAGTGAATAGGGTACGGCATCCAGTTGACTGGCCAACCCTAAATTTCGTGTTGCCATCCTTCCTTTAATAAAAAACGTTATTATAGCTTGTCTTACATCAATCTGCGGATGCAGCGTGCTTCCGCTGTAAAAAGCGGCCAAATTCGACGCGGCCGACTGAATGCATCTGGGCGTATCTGCAGATCGAGCGTACAGCTGAAAATTTGAGCCAAAATTGAGGGAATTGCATTAGCAAACCTCTGTCGGATCATAGGTGGCATTGATAAACTTCAAAGTATCAATGTACCGCTTCTTCAGCCGTTGCCCTTGCAAAAATTGCTGTTGCATCCCAGTCTAAATAGATGTTGATGCTTTGTGTAGAAAAAACCGTGGTCAGCGTTCCACCCGGAAGCCCCCATTTATCCACGTTGGGGTCGCCTTTATAGGTGTAAATCGGCGTTCGGTCTCCATGCCGGTATAACTAAACATTTTGCTGGAAATAATGGGTTTTTTGAATACCAAATTGACTTGGATAAGCTCGTCGGCAAGCCCGACCGCCAAAAAGGCCCACAGCACGAGGAGCAGCCCCATACCAGGCCGCAGAAGCTAATGACCGGGAAGCCGTCGGGTTTTCTTATCTCCGAAGGCGATTCCGGCATCACCAGTCTCTGCGTTCTGGTCGGCAGCAAAAACCAGGCTTACTTCAGGTGGCAAAGAAGAGAATTCGTTTCATCATCCCCATCCAAAACGCTTTACAAAACGGGGAAAATAATGAAGCGAGCGTGAAACAGTAGAAAAAGTATTTCTAATAAAGGAATTTTTAAAATTTTAAAATTTTTAATTATTTCACAAAAATCAATATTTAGGCTTTTCCGCCACGCACCGCTGTACGCCGGGTCCCGCAGCGTCGGCATCGCCCCGCGGAGCGAAACGTTCTCTCTTCTGGTTTTTCAGCAAAACCTGCATCCGACCATCCATCCTACCAGCATGCAGTCGAGCGACCGTTTTGACGTGAACAAGACACTCGACGAGATAACTGCCGGGAACAGGGCTTTGAAGTATGTCATCTTTCTTGTTCCCAGCCCTTTGCCAAATTTTACCATTTCCCTATGTAACTTGTTTTTAGGCGTCAACGCTCGGGCGGCCGTAGCAGTCGTGGTGGCATCGAGGGCCGTTGGGAGCACGACATGTACCACAGTCCTGGAACGAGTGCTTCTTCTTCGAAAACACGTTAGGATTTTGACGATCACTAGAAATTGCTTTTTAGGCGGCTCTGCCCGGAAGCTACAAAGGTCGCCAACCAAATCAGGACGTGAACGCGCACGTGTCCTACTACACAACCTGTCGCGCTTTGTGACCCAAGACGACTTGGAGGAGCTCATCTCTCCCTATAATGGCAGTGCGGCCACCGTTCATTATGATCAGAATGGGACCCCGCTCGGAACGGCTGAGGTTTGCCACGGTTTCTTCCTACAATTCCTAATGTAGTTTCACGCTAGTGCTGCAAAGGCCAACGAGTTCAGCGCGAAATACAAGAATACGGCTATTGATGGCAAGCCGATCCAGATAACAGTGGTGATCGTGTTTTTTGTTGCTAATCCGCATACAGGTCCCGACGTCGCACACCTCCGGAACTATTCATGATCGAGTCAAGTTCGGATACCTACATTGGCTTCGAATTTTGCTTTAGACTGCCACATAAAGCTATCGGCGGCAAACTGCGTCGTTCCGTTACCGGGCGCATCAAGAAGCACTCCGCTTCACGTACGAATCGTTTCATGGATGAACATGATCACAGGGTTTGACTTACTCTGCAGCTTTCATTTGTGTTTAGGAAACGTCACCGGAGCAAGCCAGTCCGAAGAAGCGGCGCAACGATGGTCGCGGTCCCAAGAAGCTGTCCCAAGAAGAACTTGACCGCCAGCTCGATGAGTATATGAAGGCCTCCTCAATGAAAATGGAATAGAAGCCAAGCTGTTTCTCCACACGTATTTGTTACTTTACAGAACACCGACATCTTACTCTAACCACGTTTTGTTTACAATTTTTGAATAAATGTTTGGCGTCTATCTAATCTGGTCACACGAAATGAACCAACGTTGTGGGCGGTGCAGTGATACCTATCTGGGATACCACATCTCTTGTTGTTTCCTCCGGCGTCCTTGAGCGGCAGGCAGACCCATTGCACACTCAGCGCTGTATGAATGCTTGCCGGGGGTAATTGCCTCCGAGGGGGATCCTCACGTCCCCTATTGAACATCGACACCTATTCACACATTCCCCGGTAGGAGCCTTATTAGTTTCTAGCCTATCGAAATCTTGTGCAAACCTTTTGCAGCTCTGACGACTGTTTTCAACCGCTCTTGCTCAATTGGTGGCTGGGATGGGTTCGCGCGAATGACCTACTCCGTCACCACTCAACTCTGGAAACGTTATCGCCCGACGCGATCGAGCTCCATTTACGCCCCGGGAACCAATTACTCAGGTGTGCCCCAAAATGGTGGTGACAGTGCGGTGGCCCCTTGAAAAATGGGCGACCGGTTGGGGCGGGGTGACTGGCAGGAAGGCGGGGCAGCCCCAGGCTTGATTGATGATGAATCGACCCATTGCGCGATTTTGCACCAAGACATCCGGCTAATCCTGTTAGGGTCGTGAACCTACCCTTTTTGTCCTCCCTATTACTCATGGCGCAATTCAATTTCCTTGCCTTTGCCTTAGCGGGGGATGCTGGAACTAAAACTCTTGTTAATTAGCCTCGTGTCTTCCTAGGGACAACCGGCTTAACCCAGTCAATCTCTTGCGACAAGCTGTGAGGCCCTCTTATAGCGGTTGTAATAGGTACCTGGCCATCCATCTTTCTAGCACGTTTCACGCTTCGATGCCTGTTCACACGGCTGGAAGCGATTCGTTCAAGAACTAACATTGCGAAAAGCGCCTGTCCAAATTGTATCTTCTCACTCGCCACTTTGCTGTGACGAGGCTAATTACTCGATTTCATGCGGCTCGCGTGTCCTGGCTCCGAGCTTCAAACGCACAACTGGGCTTCTCTGTCCGCTTAAATCAATAGGGCGTGAACAATGCTCGTCGGCCGTCGCTGCTAGGCTGTTTGGTCCTGGTTGATATTTGCGTGCAGGTTTATACTTTTCGTCACCACAAGGCCTTGTACAAACCGAACTTTCGCTGTCCGTACTGCCTTTGCTAAAACGTCCCCCAAACCTTTCAATCGAAATTCTATTGTTTTTTAGCTTGCTACTTTAGCCTGTTGATCGATTTCGTCAGCTTCAATGATTCATCGTGCTCCCGAAAAGGCCGAGCCACCGTTAGGGTGGGTTGATATTTTGGCAATATGACTCATAGGTCCGTCCTCCATTCTTCCCGACGCTCTTCATATTTAGTTTGGAGAAGAATTGAAGCACATTGCTCTTGTTTGTGCTGCGCAGGCCCTGGTCTCAGGTTGCATTCGGCGGGATTCATTGGGGGTTGGGTACTTGAGAGGCGCCGCGACTGACACCACTCGATACAGTTCATCGATGCGGTCATTTCGTGCTCGGCCTTTCATTAATTTAGTTTTTCTAGTTCCTATCCGAAAGGGCACGTGGAGAACGAAAGCTACATGTGTTTGGCAATTATTGACGACCTCCAGCTGGCAAAGTAGCGCTGTTCCGGCCCCGCCCCGTTACTCTCACTCGACCGTCCCTAATGCCCTAATGCATCGGAAATGCGCAGCGGCCTGGTTTCGAGGTCTCTTGTGTTGGATCCGGTCGGCTAATCCAACCGATATTTCATCACGAACGACTAACCATTTTCTTTAGCGCCCGTGCTGGTGTACGCCTTCATGATTTATGCGCTGTCCTCGGGGGGCCCCTCTTCGTTCTTGGCATGAAAGGGGGCCCCCGCATGTCGTGGCCGGCTGGGCCGGATATTGAATTCTATCAGGCCCTCCTCCCCGGGGACAGCCCTGAAGAAAGTGATTGCAGGGAGCCGCTTGGACTGGATGCATTTCTTTGTCGGGGTCAGTTAGTTGTTGCCAAATCACTACCCTGTACTAATCGATCGCTGTTTGCGGAATCGGTATATTGATCAATGCTACTCTGAGCCGGCGAAGGGGCTCGACCCTCAGCTATAAATTGAAGTCATCCTAGTTAAAGAGGGTTCGATTCGATTTCTGTCCTCATTTTTGCCATTTTCTTACCGATAAAACTGATTGGAACGTTGCGTGACTAATAGCCACTACCGGCGGTTTTTATGGAAGCCCTACCAGCTGGTCTGGCGCAGATGCCTCTTCGGGAAGGTCGCTTCGTAACGATCCTCGCGGATGGATGCACATCTTTTAGTAAAAAGCCCCCATACACGTTCCCTTTATGATCCCTTGTTGCACCCTAGCGACCGTTTCGCGCATCGCCATTGATTCACCTTGAGAAACCTTTTCTTGATTGATGTTTTCTGATTCTCGTTTTTCTGGTTTACAGATTTTACCCCATTTTTTAGAGACGACGATGTCTAGAAAATCGAGCGAAAGCAGCGAAGGAGACCCAAGCGCCCGTGCCGTCACAGTGTCAATTTTAAAGGATACTGGCACAAAGGTTGGTGATTCTGAAATTTCGTCAATAAGGTCACTTCTACGCGTTCTGAACTTCCGGTTCTGCAACTGTGTTTTTTAGGTCCAATTGATGCTCAAAGCCCAAGGATTGAAACGGCGCAAGAGCTTTTTTGGCGACATCATCAAGATATTCAAGAAGGTGCGGATTTTTTCCTTTAAAAAATGCTATTTGAATTCTAGCCGTCGTCTCCCTCTCGTTTGTTGAGCAATGGAAAATTCACCAAATTTGATCTGAAGGACTATGGCCTCAACTTCGTTCTCGAGGTATTGCTATTTTCAAGGTTTCAACTTCTTTTTGAAAGGTTCTTCTTGAAAGTTTCAACGCTCCTTGATTCAGGTGGAAACTATGAAGCGAAAGAAGAAGGGGAACGCGAACCGCACGGAAACTTTTGTATGTGAAGTCAAGCAATTCCCCACGCAGATCAACCCAGATAGCGCCGAATTCGAGGTTTGGCAACTTGATTATTGACGAAACTTGTCGTTCTTTCAGATATTGGAACCGGCTTCTGGAGAATGCTTCATTTTGATGACGTTGATCAAAACGAGCGACTTGAATGTTAGCTGGAAGGAATTCCTCGATAGCAATGGTACCATAGATGTTACTCAAATCTAGGTGAGCCACATTTTCTAAATTTTATCGCCTTTTTTAGAGTAACGTAACGAATTACACTACCGGCTCTCGGGTAACGCGCTGACGCAAATGTGATCCTCATCCCTGTTTCTATTGTCTCTTATTTTCCCCCAGTACCTCTTTCTCGCTCAATCTTAAATTTTTGCTATTTATCGTCGCACACCCTCCTGTGTGGCGCTGCTATTTTTTCTGTGTAACCGGAGGAGCCGTCTCTTTCTCATGGCCCGTTCGCAAAAGTATCCCCCGGCTCTCGGCTTTAAATTGGCGTTTCCGAAAAATTGTGGGCTCTGCTGGGCGCACATCATCCCCGCGGGTTCTGACTCTAACCGCCCTCCCAGGTTCTTTTCATGCCAGCTGGCCCCTCCACCCTCCTACCAGCCGACTCTTTTCCCTCCACTCTCGTTCCCTGCGTCTCGTTGTTGGTTGGCTAGCCTCACCGGCCGGGGGAGACCGATTGGCCGGGGCCAAAAGCAGAAAGAAAACATAACACGCCATTTCCTCCCCACTTGTCCTTCACCCTGTAGACGGTCTTCTTGTCTTGTTATGTGTCTCTCTCACACCAAAATTTTCGCCTTCTCTCCTCTCCATCCCCCTTCGAATGCATAGCTCCACTATTTTCTCGCGATGTTGTTTCTTGGTTTTGTCGCTAATAAATAGCTCGCCATTGCCTTTGTCGTGCCGCGCCAAATGGTTATAGGGTCTGACGCTATTTTCGTGCGGGTTTAATGCCTTTGAAAAGATTTGTCGGCGAGATTTGCGGGGAGAAGGTGCCAGTGATCGGAAACGAGTTTGGGCGATTGATCGAGGGTGGGGCCGACCCTTCGGCAACGCTACTTGGACTGGCGCTGATCTGTTTTTCCGGGAGGCTGAACTTTGTTTATGCGGTCCGCGCCGTGAGACGATGCCCTTTTCGACATAGACCGGGAATCAAATGCTGTAGAAGCTCTAGGATTTACCGACCCGTCACGGGGCTCGAGACGAGACTCCCCTTATCGGCTGGATTTTATGGCGCATCTTTGACCTTTCTTTGATGGCTGTCTGACTGAAACCTTTTTCGTTCTACGTTTTACGTTAGGTATCCCAATTAATTGCTGATTTTAGTAATGCGCACTGTGCTTCTATAAGAAGGGATGAACAGTCGCTGCGCACTCCGCCTTTTGCGGACATCACGGCTTCTTACAGCGGTCCCAACATGCTCCAAGAGCACTCGGCCTATCCCCTCGGAGGCATGAGATTTTTCATTTGAAAATATTACTTTTTTAGGGAAAGCCTTTTGGCCTTGTACTTGATATTGATGGCGTGCTGCTGCGCGGACGCGATGTCCTTCCTCGGGTACCAGACGCCTTCCGATTGCTCACCGATGCTAACGGCTCTTTTCAAATTCCCACGGTAGGTTTTTGCTTCCGGATTGGTGAACATTTTCTTAGGTTTTCCTCACGAACGGTTCAAATTCACTACGGGCAGCCAAGGCGCAACGTCTTTCACAGAACTTAGGAATAGAGGTACGAGTTTTTCCATGATCCAGAAAAAATATATGTTTTTAGATTCGGCCGCAACAAGTAGTTATGGCGCACAGCCCGCTTAGGATGTTTACGCAATTCCATGACAAGCACGTGCTCGTCGTCGGCCAGGGGCCTGTAAATACCATAGCTCAAAAGTCGGTGTTTCAGCTTTAGCTTAAAAAATTGGTTTCTAGCCTTGGGTTCAACAATGTGATAACCCTCGACGACCTGCGCGGTTTATTCCCCCACCTCGACTGCGTGGACTTCTCGAGGCGACGATTCGACGAGTTGAACTGGTCGCCACCAAAAAATTTCGCCCCAATCGATGGTTGGTTTTATGGTTTAAAATGTTTTGAGCCGGGCTAGGCACTTTTTTTAGCTTTTTACGCATTTTTTGTTTTAGCTATCGTCCTTTTGGGCGAACCGTTGCACTGGGAATCGGCGTTACAATTCCTATTGGATGTGCTGATCACGGACGGTGATCCAGGTAATTTCCAGCTTTCTATGCAGTTTAAAGTATATTCCAGCCGGCCTCAAATACAAGCGTGGCAACGTCACCCATTCGAATCTTCCGCTTCTTGCGTGTAACGTCGACATGGTGTGGATGGCCGAGAAGGGCGTCAATTTGCCAAGGTTAATCAGTTTGCTTTTAGTTTTTGAACACACGTTTAGAATTGGTCACGGCAGCTTTTTGACGTGCCTGGAGGCGATGTACTCAAGATTAATGGGGAGGGACTTGAAATATACGGTATTTGATGAATACCGGTGGCTAGTACAACTAATTTCGTTCAGGCAGTCCTCGGCAAGCCAGCAGAAGTTTCCTACCTGCACGCCACGCATTGCCTTCAAGATATGGCTTTTGACATGAAGCGCCCGGCACCGAAGACCATCTACGTTATTGGGTTTGTTTTCACGACTCTGTTAGATCTCGATTTTTAGTGACAACCCGCTGTCGGACATCCTCGGCGCCAACCTGTACAACCGCTACCTTCAGCACGGCGGCCGAGCACGGTGAGCTGTTGATCACTGAAAACACATATTGAGACATGTGCTACGTGGGCACCTAATTACGCAGGGTGACCAGCAAGGGGTCGTCGTCTTCGGGTGATATTGGATTTTTGCGGGGTGACTCCAATCGATATAGCTTGAAATTTTGAGCAGCTCCTGTTTAAAAAAAATTGCTGAACGCTAGCGATCTGCCAAAAAACGTTCGCGGACTTTACATATTGCCATTTGTTAAAACCGTAATTTAGCAATTTTTGAAAGTTGTGACTTGTCCGGAATTTCAAGCTCTATCGGATGAGCTGCTGTACAGGGCGCAAGGCCATTATCAGCTTAAAACGACTAATGTAGGAAGAGACACACACACAAAGGTAAATAGGCGGCCACGTAGCACGTGCGTGACGTGCGCCTTAACCCCGTAAGCCCCCGCATGCTCCTTGCATGAACGGCCACTGGCTGTGCGTAGGTTTCACGGGGTGATTAGCCTTTTCTTTTTAATTTTGTGAGACGTTGGGTGAGTCGTAGTAATAAGTTGGCCCCGCGGTTTGTAACCCTGAACATCAGACCACCAGCACCGATCCCGATTCGACCGCTGTCGGCTGTGTCGTCGGTGGCCGAGGTGTACCACGCGCCACCGGCTGAGGATTCGAGTCCCGGGCCCGCCGGGGCTCATCATCCGCCGGCCAGTTCTTCGGCCCCGTTGGCTGGGGCGAATCCGCAGTATTCGTCGATGAGAGGGTTGGCCGGGATGGCAGTCCCACATCTCAGGTAGAGCGCCCGGTTGCTTATTGTGCTGTCCTGTCGCTTTTTTGTGGAAGTGAGCCGATTTGGCGGCTTTGATGTTGTGCGTCCGTCGTGGTCTATCCTTAGTTTGAGATCTAATCGTTTTCATGGTCCTAGGTATTATTTTTATCCTGGCTATCTAACTACTCGATCCAACTATTGCTCGATGTCGAAGGGCTGACGGAACAGTCTGGAAGTGAACCCCTTCTGATGGGCTCATCCGCATTTTCAACTTCAGAAGTCTCCGATTACTTACCTGTAAATTTTGTAAAACGGATTTTTCACCGTTTTGTTCGACATCACTAACGTGCTCGCTGCATGTCCCGGTCGATTTGCTAACTGTATGAACTTCGTGTGCGATCAGTTCTAAAAAAGTCCCTTGTTTTGGCCTCCTAATCTAACGTTTTTTTGTGGCACTGCCTCGTTATCCCTCCTTTTTCAGATTCGACCACATCGAGCTCGCCAAGCTGGAGGAGCAGTCGCCGGACGACAAGCCCGTCGAGCATCGCGTCCGCGAGAATATCGAGCGGTGTCTGAGCGTGCTAGTTGGTGCGTTGCTTTTCCGGTTACGTTATAAACCCCACTCTTTTAGAAACCGGCGTCTACCTGGAGGGCTGCAAGATCAACGGAACCGTCCTGCCAATCAGCAAGCTCGTCCAAGAATTGACCGATCAGGAGCGAACCGAGCTCGAGGTAAATTTGAAGTTTTTTAGTTGTTTCAATGTCTGGTGCTTCTCGTTTGACGGGGGTGATTAGTTAAAAATTATAAAAATAATATAGGCATTTATAAAACGTGATTTTTTTATTTTCGATCGGGAAAAGCTAGATTTTTTACCATCTTTATGATATTTTTATAATTAAAGAGGGTGCACAATTTTAATAAAAATACATAGAAGAACCTTTACTTCATCCATCTTCTAGATGCCCGGCTTCGTCGAGCCCGATCTCTTCGCCGCCGTCGAGATGATCCTCCAGCGCGAGCAGTGGAAGCGCCCTTAATTCCCCGCCAATCGTGTTTTTGCAAATTGTTTAGAATTGTGCACTTGGCTTTGCTTTACTTGCTACTTCTATCGGTGACCGCTATCTTCTGTGTCTTTTCCCTGGAATTATACACACACTCGGGCTTAAAGAAACATCGGTGATTAATAAATGTTAGAAATTTGAATTCAAAACTTGGAATCCGCACACATTTCATCGCCACACCCCGGCCATTCTCATTTGCTACTCGCTTGTTAATTGGTATCGGCGGCTTTATTGAGGAGAAACTGTGGGTGATGTTTGAATTCTTGAGCTTGTTGAATTCGTTCTAGAAAATGGCGATCCAGTCTTACGTAAAAACCTACAAGAACGTGGCGTTGATCAAGTCGCATCGTGTGATCGGGCGAGCGTTCAAGAATCAGCGGTGAGGAGGAGCCATTTAGAATTTGGAACCCGAAAATCCAGGCTTGCCCTGCTCGTGAACACGTGCGGCAGCATCTGCACGCTCGGCGGCGGCGACATCCTGCAGCAGTTGATGCACAAGGAGTGGGTGCCCGGCGACCCGACGAAGCCGTGGGACCGGATGCGCACGGCGCGCATGGCATCGATTGGGCTGCTGCAGGGGCCGATGCTCTACTATCTGTACCGCTGGATGGACTTTAACGTGAAATATCGGTTGGTTAGATAGTGCTAGTTTTCTTAAACAGCTCTTAAAGCTTTTCCTGGCCGTTTTGCCTTCGTTTTGCTGCAAGTACTCTTGGAGCTGCTCCTGAAAAACAGGACGTTTTCTAGAGGTGGTCGCCTTTCGATCGTGCTGCAGAAGGTGTTCCTCGACACGGCCACCGCGCCCATGTTTTCCGGGACGACGATCATTGGGGTAATTATAGTGTCTAACTCATAATAAGTAAAAACGAACTTTCAAAACGTTGCACTGACGTATTTCCCTTTCACTGCCTTTCAGAGCGCGCACGGGAGGGGTGGTCGGGGCGTGGTGTAGTGGTCTAAGGCGCCGGCCCAGTCCCGAGACAGGGGGTGCGGGTTCGGTTCCTGGGCCCGCTGTTCTTTTCATTTTCGTTTTGCTTTTTCGTCTCAAATGTTGCTAATGGAGTGCCGTAACGCAAGAGAAGTCAGGAAACGAGCTTTCACATTCTTTCCGGGCCAATAGACCGATAAAGTTAGACGGCGCCTTTACCATCTTCAAATGGTCAGTTGCCTAAATCGTCACGCTATAATTTTCTAAAATTCGTTGCAAAAGATAGAGTAAAGGCTGCTCTGTGTTCCCAGGGCTCAAGCAGATTTAAAAACCGTCATCATAAACCAGTTGGAAATTTGGGCGAACTTTCTGTTGAAACGGTAAACTAAATGCCGGGAACACTCAATTTTGCATCTAATTGGATAGTTGGTAGCAGAAGGTTCACAGAGAATTCAAAAAATCTATCTGGGCAACTATTTTTATTGTTCTAGAAGGCAATTTGTTGAAGCCGCCGGATTGCTGTGGAGGATCCCAGCCTAAGTCGGCTCAAAAGATAGAGCGAAGTCTGTTTTATTTTTCCTCCACGCAAGTAGATTAAGATTTGCACATTGGAAAAACTTATAGCCTTTCGAAAGGCAGCTCTTTCCGACTTTCTATGCTTTCCCAATGCGTTACGCGGTGCATTGGCGCGCTGCGTAGCCCAGCCCCCGTCCCCCCTCTCGTGCGCGTTTTTATTAAAGCCTGAATGGCAGTGCTTTAGACAGCCCTGCTGGAGGGGAAAACGCTACGCTCGGCGGTGAAGGAGTACTGCACCAAGTACCCGCAAATCTTCATCCTCGACCTGTGCACCTGGCCCCCGTTCCAGTTCATCAACTTTTGGTGGGTGTTTATCAGGCAGCAACTAGCATTTTTGCTAAGTACAGCGTAAAATAACAAACATTGAATGAATAATACATCGTAATTAGCAATGTAACGTATCAGAGGTTTTTTTACAACCAAATTAGTGGTCTAGAATACAAATAATGCCCCAACCGCATGGCATTTGCTAATTGGATGATAAAGTTAAGATCTTTAATCTGGCGTAATTCGTATATAATTTTTTTACCAGATTGTTCCAGGTAAAGAGCCAATTTCAGGTTCTTGCCGAACCAGTGGCGTGTGCTGTACACGAACGTCATCCAGGTGCGGGTCACTTAAAGTTGGCTGGAAACGATTTGAAAATTATGATTTTTAAGGATTTTCCTGCTAGAAACCATCGATCCTTTCCTTTTTCAGTTATGCTACAACACGGTCATGTCGTACATCAAGCACCACGACGAGAAGCTCTTCAAATTTATCTGATCCTCGTTTTTGTGTGCGCGCCGATCGGCAGAATAAATTCATTTAGTTTTGTTCATGGTTTTTCGATCGTTTTTATGCTTTATTACGATGGCACCATTTATTAAATTATTGACGCGTTGCCTAGCCTCTTGTATCGGCTCCTAGTTGGGTGGCAGGAATGGGGCGAGGTTGATCGGCTTCAGGTTTGTGCAGGGCTCGGAGGCGGAGCTGAAAATTGAGAAAATGAAGCTCCCATTTTTCGTTTTGGCCTTTAAATATGAGAATTCGGAAAAGCCCTTACTTATAGACAAAGATATCCTTGGGGATCGTGGTGGTGGTGGGGGATCCCGCGCAGAAGATGTACCGCATGTCGTAGGCGCGCACGGCGGCGAGTTCGTCTAAAAACCGTGAGCTTAGCTTCGGAATATAAATAGAGGAACTGTTTCTAACTGTTTTTTACTATTCCTAAGCGTAAAAACTTTACAAATTGTTAGCGAAAAACATCAAAAATATCGATTCGTCGAGCAAAAATGCCCGATTTTTTACCAAGATTTTGCCTAAAATTGTTCTAGAGGTTTTTTTATTGTTTTCGCACTTCAAATATCATTACATTTTGCTAATACTTATAAAAATAGGTTACTAGGCATTTGGGAGTACAGGAAAAAGCTATGAGCCGGCTTTTGCGCGTATGCTGTCTGCAGTGGAGTTTAAAAAAAAAATAGAGCTCTCAAAATATCAAAATAAATTGTTATAAACGATTACCCACCAGCTGTCAGCCCGCGGCTGTTCGGCACCTGGTTCTCATAGTAGAAGCGGTCGCCCTTCTTCAGGTTCTGGAACTGCAGCCCGATGATGTAGCCGGCGGTGGGGCCAAGCTGAAATTTTCAACTTAATTTTTAGAGCTAAAATGTTTTCTTATAGTGATGAATCAACGTCTGGATCTCATTCTCAAAAGCACCTACCAGAGCTCCCGAAAGCGGCGTCTCCATCACGAGCCCCGCGTACAAATCGACGTCTCCGGGGTTGGCGTACGCCGTCTTCAGCAGGTTGATCTAAATATTGGGTTTATTCGCGGTTTAGAGGGAAAATTGAAGTGAGCAATTTTTCCGAAAATGACACCCACCTTGGCGGTGGTCATGGCGTCGGCGAAATCGTCGAAGGTGGTGGCCTTCTTGAGGCCGGCGAGCGCGCGGTACTGGTTGTACGGGCCGACGCCGAAGTCGCGAGCTCGCTGGATGTTCGTCGCCGGAAGGTCGATGCCGGAGCCCTGGAAAAGGGGGGGATAAACATAGATCAATATAAAACTGGTAACCTGACAGTTCTGGTTTCTTAGCGGGGGGGGGGGCAGCAAAAATCCCATTGTTAACATTTTTCTGTCGGGATTTTGGCCCTCGGTATTTTGGCTGTCGGCATTTAGGCGTTTTCCCGATAACCGCTATTCACTCACCGACTTGTTGCGGATCTCGAACACGCGGTTCCGAATGTCGAACGAGAACTGGTTGTCGACGGCCATCTGCTGGGAGTACATCAGGCCTAGAGAGACAGTGGTCAACCTTTAAACCTTCTTTCAACTTACCATGTCCAATCGACTCGTACTGCTGGGCGGTCTTGTTGTAGATGGGGTCCTGGTAGAAGATGTTCTCGCCGAGCATCACCGGCGTGCCGACCGTCACGTTCGTGTTGGACACGCGGGCAAAGTCCTGGAATCGGGGCGATATTTCCCGTCAAGCTCCAACTTACACTCCTCGCCTCCGAGTGGCCAAAGCGGAAGGCGTTCGTGCCGAACTCGGCCATCACGGACGGGTCGACGTTGATGTCATATCCGGTGAAGAAGCCGCTGGTCAGCGGGTTCAAGCCGTACTGAAAAATTGGGAGTTGAGCATGAAAGTAGGGGCTCATACCTTGGTCATCAGCGTGGTGCCGAGGATCTTGGGGAGGTAGAATTTGTAGACGAACTGCTGGTAGACGGCGATGATGATGCGGCGTGTTTCCTGGAAGATGCGCTCATCGGGCCAGGCCGGGCGGGCGGCAGTGATGTTGGCGGCGATCTGAAAATGTAGCTGTCAAGAGGTGTTTTTCGTACTATAGTTGGCGCTAGACACTGCTCGTTCTCACTCTCTCTCGCTCTCTCTCGCTCTCTCTCTCTACGACAATACTACGGTACTCACCCGGTTGTGCTCCTGGATGAAGTACATGTGGGTGGGGTAGAGGCCGGGGTGCAGCGACGTCCTCAAGTCGCCGGACAACGTGCACGGGTAGGTGGGCTGCGAGTGGCAGTTCGGGTCCTGCAACGACAAACTTGGTTTCATTTCTCAAACCCCAAACTGACCGCCGGATCGGTGGGGACCATCGTGTAGCCGTTGGTGTTCTGCGTCTTCAGCTGCCCCTTGGCGAACGTGCGCAGCTTGTTGTGGTCGCACATGTTGCTCCCGTAGACGATGGACAGGTCGAGGAAGTGGGTGTTCTACAGCTGGTTGATGGGGGAATGTTATTAGCGAAAACCTGGTTGATTTGGATGCGGGGGCCGACTTTGGTTTGGCCGTTGAGGGCACGGGTGAACTTGAAGCAGGCCGTTTTGAAGTAGGGGTCGCCTGAAAAAGAGTATTACTGATCGCTCTATCACTCTTTCACATTCTCGCTCTCTCTTTCTCCCTATCTCTCTCGCTCTCTCGCTCTCTCTCGCTCTCTCTCGCTCTCTTTCTCTTCTCACCTCGTCCCTTTCTCACACATGTTTTCTCTCTTTTGTGCTCTCTGGATATCTCACTCTCTCTCACTCTCGCTCTCTCTCGCTATCTCTCTCTCTTTCTCTCTCTCCCACCTGTCGGAACATCAACCGGCGCGCAATTCTTGTCCCTCATGTTCACATCGCAGATCGAGCAGTCCAGCGACGAACCATTAGTGCCTAAATTTAATGGTGAGTACAGTAACCGTACAGTACACTACGCTACTGTACGCTACAGTACGCTATTCTACCCAACCCCTCAAAACCAACCTGTCGATCCGGGCGTCAGCACGACGTCGTGGGCGATAATTTGGCCGAACTGCATGAGCATGTGCGAGTGGCCGGCCGTGTCCACGGGGTACAGATCGGTCTAAATTTTGCGGATTGTGAGCACGATTTTTAGACAGCTTTCAAAGGAGCCAAGGGACAATTTTGGACTTTTGCCGGGTGGCCGATTGGTAGGTATCGGGCCTACCAATCCATAGATCGATGGTTCGATCCCTGGCTGCGCAAAATTTTTTGTTTTTCGAATTTTAATGCTTTTTTTTAACGGATGACACCCACCTGCTGGAAGATCTTGTTGGAGATGACGCGAGCCGAGGGGAGAGCCTGGCCGGCGACCACGGATTTAGCGCGGATGGCGCCAATTCCTGGAAAAACGGTTTTAAAGGACTGTAGAAGTCAAAATTTATAGTAACCCTAGTCAGTTGATAGTAAGTATTTCAGTTGTGTTTTTAGTAAAAGTAAGTTATATTTCAAGGGGGAAAACGAAAACTTAGACTTTTGGTCGAAAAATCGCAATTTTTTTGTATTTGTTAGTAAAAATCATTCTATTCATATTACTAAAATTGTATGCTTCGAGACAATTTAGTCCCCCCGTTGATGCCAAAGAGCCTACCATCATCATACACCGGCTTGGCGAGCTTGGCGAACGGGTTCAGCGAGGCGCCATTCTTCGCGAACTGCAGGTTGTTGCAGTCGCCGGTGATGCGGCGGTACGGCTCGCTAAAAGATTGAAATAATAGGGCACACGGAAAAGAAGTAGAAATTTTTTTCGAGTAGTATCGAATAGCCAAATCAATGATTCTAGACGCAGAATTTTATTATCCGAAAAAACTCGGGTTTTCCCGCTCACTTTGGCTGGCAGGGGGTGTTCTGGCGGCAGGCCGAGTCGGAGCCGGTTGGTCCACTAAAATTGTGTTTTTTTTTGCTGTCACCATCCCTTGAAAATACCTGCGCTTGCGCTGCAGGCGTGAGAGGTTTTTACAACAAAAGATTAAATTTTAATTTTAAGGTCTAGCCCAAAATTGATATATTTTTTGTCGAAACGTTTTCAAAATTTCAAAAATATCCAAAAACGATTTTCCCTTAATCCATTAATTACGGGTTACTTTCAAATTCTCAAGATATAGAATGTCGAAATTCATAATGCCGAAATTTACACAAGCAAATTTCTCGAAAAACCGCCAATACTTATGCAAAAAGTGTCGACATTCCGAAAGTTTGACACTGAAATTTCGACATTATGATTTTCGACATTCCGAATTTCTGCATTCTGAAATTTCGACAGTATGATAGCAAATCGAAAAGACTCACTCAACATATCGCTTCGATCGGACCGTCGAGCCCTGAACTGCGGCGAAGATCGCCTCGGTGTCGAGGTTCGCGTCCGAAATTGAGGTCAGAATCTGCAAAGCCAAATTTTTCTATAGGGACTGTTTGCGGTTACAAAATCTATAAGGACTGTTTTCCGTCACAAAATCACAGCTCGGTGATTAACTTAGGCTTAAATATATCCATTTGTAGCGAAGACTTTCGAAAACCCAGAAAATTTCCGGAAACTCACATCAAGTCCGCACTGGGCGACGAGGAGCTCGGTCGCGCGCTGCATCGTGTCGCCTTGGGTTTGCTTGGCCTGCGCGTCCGGGTCGGCTTTTTGTGAGGAGACGACATCGCCTAGAAGTTCACTTTAAACATCGGTTCATCAAAAATTTTCGAATTTTATTGGACCCGATTATGGTATTAAATTGCGGACCTGATGCTTCAAGTCATCGAAAAAATAGGACCGATTACGGCATGGATATCCCGGATTGCGAGCTCCTTTAACGACAATAACCTACTGGTAATCAACTGATTTTGCTGGGCAAGGATAATCTGGCCGAACGCCTCCTTCATGGCGGCGGTGACGGTTGTCTGGAGGTCCGAGCATGACTTCGCCGTCGTCTGCGCGCTGCTAAAAAAGAAATTATATGAAAAGCCAGAGGTTATTTCTTTCTCTGTCTCTCTTTCTCTCTCAATCTCGCTCTCACTCTCTCTCTCTCTCTCTGGCTGTCTCTCTATATCTCTGCTCGGCAGGCAAGCAGAGATTCTTTGAGAGTCCATCGCAGTGACAGGCTAGCAGAATTCCCTTAGAAAATTTAGGATCTAGGGCAGGCTAGCAGCGATTCTTTGAAAATTTAGACCGAAAAAGGAAACAGCGGAGATTAATGAGGAGGTACGGTACTCCCGAGGTACGGTAATAAAAACCGAACCTGACGGCGGCCAGGGCCCAGCAGAAGAGATGGACGGGATGCATGGCGAGACCCCGGAGAAAGAGTATCCTCCCCCCAGCCATAGTCCACTTTTATACTACCCCCTACTGCCCACACACCCGTCATTTCGACCGTCCGCCCGGCCAAAACCGTTTTCCGGCCGCTACAACTTCCACACCAGCCGGCTGAGCAAATTCGGGCAGGTCGACCCGTGGTGGTGGGGGGCCCAAGATATGTCAGTGGGGTCGGATGGGGTGGGTGGCACTGGCCAACTTTTGCTGGAGGGTGAAATGGTCCCTATCAGATTCCGATCTAGCGTGGGCTTAGGCCGGGCTTGGGCTTAGCTTGGGCTCGGGTTTAGTCTTAGGTTTCGGCTTAGGCCCAGACTTTGACTTAACTTCAGCTTAGTCTAAGCTAGGGATTGCTCAGTTTTATACCAACGTCGGCTTCGCTTGAACTTGTTTTACACTTGAGCTTCGCCCAGGCTTAACCGTAACGTAGCTTAACTTAGCTAAGTCTTATTCTAAGGCTTAGGTTAGGCTTAAGCTTCGACGTAGGTTTAGGACTCGGCTTAGCTTACGTTTGCACAGGCTTGGGTTTAGCCTAGGCTCGGCCTCGCTTTAACCTAGACTACGATTCGGCTTCGCTTGGGATTGGTTTTGATTTGGGCTTCACAGGCTTACAAGCCTTAGCTTAGCCGTAGCTTGACTCAGTTGAGGTTAAGGCTTGTGCCTAGGCTTGGACGTTGTTCAGGTCACGCCTAGCCTATTCTCCTTGTCAGAAAAATCGCCAAGTCGCCGATTGTCTTGGCGTGGCCGAAGCCCAAGCTAAGCCCATCTAAAACTAGCCTAAGCTTCAGCCTAAGCTAGGCCAAACTAAACCGTACCTAAGCCCCGATTTTGAAAGCACAGTTCAACATCATGGCGCCAATGTCGAGGAGAGGGGTCGACTAGAGCCAGTTCGAGACAAAATTTGCGCAGCTTTCCGTGCTCGGTCCACCCGGGGGGTGATCCATCTATCTATCCACTCGGGCTGCGGGGGTCATTCACACACACAAAAAAGGAACGTCATCCGCCGGGTCCGGAAATTCTGGGTTTGGGCTGGGGAATGACGTGAAATTCGGCTCTGCAGGACGGTCAGGTGCTATTCTGACTCACGGGAGGCTAGGTTTTCGGTGTGTGGGCCATTTTTGGATCTGGGGCACGTCATCCGGCGGTCGCCCACACATTTTGGAACATCGCCTCGCACTATAGCCCTCTCCATCTCGCTCTCTCTAGCTCTCTTCCTCTCTATGCTCTCTCCTTCCCTCTCTCTCTCTCTCTCTCGCTTTCGCTCTCTCTCCGCATCGCATCGGGTCGTATCTTAACGAAGCGTGTAGCTTCCAAGAACGTACAGTATCTTACGGGTGTCTGTGCTATCCTACCGTACTTTCGTAAGGTGTCGTACTGTGGCTTAGCGATTGACTGTATTGTACCATCGGTATCGTAATGTTGCGCCAAGTCCCGTAGCGTAACGTAACGTAGCGTAACGTACCATGATTTTAGCTTGCCAGCCCCCAGCGTATCGCATCGTAGCACCTCGTATCTTTCATTTTCTTTCTCACTCTCTCTGGCTCTCTCTCTTTCTCTCTTTCTCTCTTTCTCTCTCTCTCTCTTGGTGTCTTTTCCACAAAATATATATGCTCTTTATTTTGGCTATAAAACCGAAGAAAACGTTGGCGGAGGATATCCAAAAAAATAGGGGATTGGGGCGGAAAAGGAGTTTGTACCCGGAGTAGCGATCCACAATTGCCATGCGCGATCAAACAAATTAAAAAATACGCAAAAAAAATTATAAAAACAAGGTCAAATACCAATTTTAAAGCGCATTCATGAGTATCACAAAAAAAGGGGCGGGCGAAGCGGGGAATCTGGTTTTGATTTGGCTTTGGATTTTTGGTGGCTGGGGGATACGGTAAGAATTTGAAGGCCAAATCGGATGTTTATGCATAAACGCAATTTTTCCGAAATTTTGATTTTTACGCCTCGATAAATTTGTAACCGTAACCCCCAAGGAATTAGACATGGTGAGTATCGGCTGCTATGCCATGACGGAGTTGAGCAGCATCTCGCCCTGTCGACTCCAATCGCAGCACAGATAGTGTCGCAGCAATAACCGATACTTTTCCGAGAACAGCATGTAGATGCAAATGTTGACGGAGGCGTTGATGATCACCTGGAAATTGTACGGTAATTGTGGGCTCTTTTGCATTATCGGGGGGGGGTGTGAGTGTTTTCTATATGTCTAGAAAGAAAAATAATAAGCATTTTACAGGTGTTTCTGCTACAGATTTCAATATTTCAGGAGTAACGGTCATCCAAGAAAGTTACAAAATCTGACAAATGTGAAGTTTTGCTCAAAAATTCGATTTTTTGTATTTTAAATAAACTTACCAAGTTCTTACGCTTCTTTAAAACAGTTAAAAATTCTTCGTATATTGATAAGCGAAAAAATTTATCGACCGCCCTGGAAAACCCACCAAAAAATTGCTGGTAGTGACGAGGACTTCGAGCGGTATCTCCAGGTTCTCGTAGATGTTGCTGATGAAGCACAACGTGTTGCAGGCGAGGAACAGGATTACGACAGCCACCTGAATGTGGTGGAATTTGATAGGTAAAAGTAACCGAAAGACTGGGAAAGATACAATACGGAAAATTTTCGCTCCTAGAACTCCTTGAAAACGCCGGACTCGACTCACCAGCATGATAGATGTTTGCCGCTCCTTCCGTTCCGCTTTCTTTGACATTTCGTCACTCTCGCCACCGCCCTAAAAATCGGAGTTTTCGAGAGCCTGCTAAGGAGCCTTTATTGATCATAAGCCTAAGCCCACGCCAAAAGCGAAGCGTAAGCCTCCAATACGTACCGCCGCGTGCATTCTCCGACTTCTCCGCACCGCGTGCAGAACCATCGAGTTGAAGCCGATCAGCAGCAAGAAGGGCACGATGAACATGATCAACGTGTGCATCCAGCCGTGGAAGATCTGGAATTTAACGATGCCTCTCCCTCACGTTCTCTCTCTCTCTCTCTCTCTCTCTCTCTCTCTCTCTCTGACTCTATCTTTCCCTCCCCCCCCCAAACCCACCAGCTTGTACATGTTCGCTTGCCGTAGCAACGTCGGGATCAAGTGCGGCATGTAGTAGTCGATGTTCACGCGGTAGCACACGTTCGAGACGTTCACCTGAAAATCGACAGAGTGAAAGCGCTGATCTTTAAGCGCGATCAAAGGGGCTAGGAGGCCCAAAACAGCCCAAGGCGCTACGATCATTTCCAACAATATTGGTTCTTAGACGTATTTTGGGGGATAACGTAGCTGTCTAGACCTGGTAATGAGTAGGGTCGATGCTGAGGCTTCAAAGTCCCTTTAAAACGCTGTTACTGACCTCGAACAATCTGGTAATATTGAAGAGAATGGAGAAGGCAATGATCCCGATGATCACATAGGCGACCCGTTCTGAAAAATAGGGTTGGAGAGAGAGAGAGAGGGCAAGAGAGAGCGAGAGAGTGAGTGAGTGAGAGAAAGAGAGAGCGACAAAACTCACTTTTTGGCAATAATTGTGGCGCTTTATACGGATGACACACGCCTATATATCGATGCACCGACACGCCAACCGTTAGGTAGACGCTAAAATTAGCATAATTTACCGCTACCTATCTCATGCTCACCTGGCCGTCTGCGCTATCGTCATAATTCCATACATTATTGGGGTGGCGAGGTAACTGAAAAAATACAGCTTACGCAACGCAAAACCTAGATTTTCGACACAAAAATTTGAAGCTTCTGCAAAAAAATGCATTTTTTCGATTAAGAAATACGCGTTCAAATCTGCTTTAATTAAAGCTCAAAAACAAAAGGTTACCTCCAGTAGCCGACCTTCCACATGGTCAAATATTCGGCCAACCGCGGCGCGCACAGCACGACAAACGACGCGATGAGGATGATCGTGTCGCTGACCGACAGCGCCGCCAGGTACCAATTGATGGAAGATGACGACATTAATCTGGAATCGAATCGAATCGGCACCATCAGGCTTTTAAAGGCGCCAGAAAGAATAGGAATATGCGCTCGCGCAACACGCAGCGTGCACGTACTCTCGTCATTTAATGGCGTAATCGGTTGTGATTTTTTACCAGGCGTGTCACGGGCTTGGAAGAACCCATTGGCAATCCATAAGTCAAAAAAAATTCATAGTGGCGCCTTGTGGGTTGCTTTAAATTGGGCGAGAGTGTGAGGTGAGAGAGAGCATGCTGGTGCGAGAGCATGAGAGAAAGCATGAGAGCGAGAGACGGAGGGAGAAAGAGTCATAGAGAGTGAGGAGGGTGAGACAGCACAAGAGGGAGCTAGAGACGAGAGCGGGAGCGATCAAGAAAAAGCGATTGAGCAAGAGAGCCAGAGAGAGCAAAAAAGGCAAGCAAGTATACAGAGAAAGAAATAGCGATGGAGAGAGAGGGATAGAGAGAGGGATAGAGAGAGAGAGAGAGAGTGAGAGAGGGGAGAGAGATAGCGTGCAAGCAAAGGAGCTATATGGTTAGACCGTGAGAAGGAGAGCTAGTGAAAACGCAAGCGCTCGAGATAGAGAGAACGGGAGAAAGGGCGACATTGAGAGACGCGAGAGAGGGAGAGAGAGAGAGAAAGCTAGTAGAAGAGAGACAGAGAACTCCACATACCTATGTGTAAATATCCGGACGCTCGTCAAATTCGCACAAATTCCGAAGGCCATGATGGGGAGGGCGATTAGGCCTTAAAAAAAGCAGGGATTAAAGATTGAAATTTAACACAGTCAACTAAAATCTGCAGTATTAACCCATTACGACGTCTAATTCGAGCCCCAACTCGAGACCCACCGAGCGTTATCCGATCATCGGGTCGATAATACTCATACTGGAAGTGGCAAGCGCAGCTGATGTTGTTCCGGCCGCAATTCGCCTCCAGATCCGGCTCCGGCTCAACATCCATCAGCCCCTCGTGCTATTAATGCGACTAGTATGGGGAGGGGAGGAGCAGGAGGAGGGCACGACGCCCCGAGAAATTCTGGTTTGGCCGCGCGCTTTTTGGACCTGGAAAGACATCATTTAAAAAGAATTCGATTGGAACGATGCGAGAGAAAGTGAGGGCAAGAGAGAGAGTGAGAGAGTGAGAGAGAGAGGGAGAGAGAGTGAGAGAGAGCGAACGAGGGCAAATAGGCAGAGCTGAAGAGCTAGATTTTAAAAAAATGTCAGTTATTAGCAAAGGAAAGGCAAGATCCAAAATGGAACGTTATAAAGCCATGCTTTTATAAAAACAGTGAAAAGAGCATAAAATAGCCAGGAATGCGAGAGAAATAGATGGTTAAAAGGATCGAGAGAAAACGAAAAAATTGACGGATTCTGTCGAGGAGTTCGAGTATAAAAATAACCGCTTCCGCCCAAAACATCAAAAATTTTTGAGGAAAGCAGAATTTTCGTAAAAGCACCTGTACCCTGATAATTTTAGGTTTCCGAAACTCAGGCCACCCCCAAAAATAGCTCCTGGTCGCTGATGGGGTTGCCATGTGAACGGGAAAGAAAGGGGCTGCACATTCCAGTCCCACCAAAGAGGGCAACCTCGCAATTCTGGAGGGCACCGAATAAAGAATCAATTTCCGAAAAGAAACAAGTACATGGCGAGGGAAAGAGAGAGAGAGAGAGAGAGAGAGAGAGAGAGAGAGTAGTTTTGTCAACACGCAACGGTCCGTTGCGGAGCGTTATTGCTCGCTTGTAAACGAGAAAAACGATAGACCTGACGAGAGAGTGTTAGAGAGAGTGTGTGTGAGCGAGGAGAGAGATTAAGCTACACGCCCGCAACGCGTTCAACCAGCCGCACTAGCCATTCCCCTCTAAAGGACCATTGAAGGCATCTGTTTTCCGCTTCTCCCTCCGCCCAAAACTGGCTGATTGGGATCAGGACACCTCGAACAAATGAGTGGCCCTATCCCCCCAATCACCCCTCCTCACCCACTTCATCAGCCAATTTGTCAGCCGCTGCCAGGCAGGGGATCTGACAAAAAGAAGAGAACGCCTCGATCAGCCCCGTCAGCGGGGGGTATCGTCGCGTAGTCGAGGGGCCTCGGGTTGGTGGCGGACAGTTGTCTGAGGGTCTCTTGTCACTGCTTCTCCTGGCATCTACCGACCATCCCCGCACACCCCCCAACAAACAACAACTGTTGCCATCTACCGGATTTTCGGCTTTCCGGGCCGGCAAACCCACAAACTGACAATTTTTGGAGGCTAGCAATTCTGGCACCGTTCCAGGCGGCATTTTAAAGGGGCGGGGAAGTCAGTGAAATGTTGGAAGTGCGGAGTTTAAAGGCACAATCGGTTTCAAAGGCGCTGGGAAGGCAAAAAATTGCTTAAAAACTGACATCCGGTTAAATGTTAAATGTACAATGTTAAAGGAAATGGAAAAAGCACAAAAAACTTTTGAAACATTTTAAAACGTCCTAAAATTGCTTCAAAAAATTCCATCGAGGGTTTAAAGGGACTCGCCAGAGGCTCGCCCCCCGCTAATGAACAAGAACCGGGATTGTTTTAAAGGGTCATGTAGAAAACGGTTTTTAGATATTCAGCGCGTTTCCTTTGAGTCGATGGTCAGACTGTTTATTCGGGCTTGCACTCACATATATATAGCCACGTAGGAGGGGGAAAAGATGTAGAGTGCGGAGAGGGCCAGAGGGGAGGCCATTAGTGGCCGAGATGGAGGAAAATGTAGGGGAAAAGGTGACCGTCCGGGGGGAGAAGGAGATAAGGGGGCGAATCATCTTTACGAAAATATTAGTATAAAATTCTATTTTCGACACTCCACTAGGGAAAAAAGGGGATAGGGACGGCAAGACGTCGGTGGGTAGAATGCTCTTACTAGAAAATAGGGTGCCACGCGGGACTTAGAAAGTAGGGGAAAAGGTGGACGAAGGAAAAGCACGGGGCAAGAATCAATACGCGAAATTTACCCAAAAACGAGATTTGTCGGTTTAGCTTTTTTCCTTGTCGTCGTTATCCATTTGCCGTTGAGCCCAAGAGGAGAGGAGCCACATCAGGCGGCAGCGTCTCAGGCGAGCGGCAGGGGAAGAGGTTGGACGTCCAGGACGGCGGGTCCAGGACGACGAGTGAGTTGGATGGGCCATCAGTGGAGTCGGCAGCAGCAGAGCGAATCGATCGCCTACGTCCGTAGGCGAACCCTCCCGGCCGGAGAAATGAAGGCGGATATAGCGCGAGGGGACCAAAGGGGGGTGCTGGAGAACAGGCGTCTCGACAGCTCGACAGCGGAAGATACGCGACCATGACGGCGGGCGGGCCCAAGGGGACGAAGGCTGCGTGGAGCACGACGTCGCTTCAGACGCTGAGAGGACCGTGGCCTCAACAGCGGAGGTTGGGCGTCCGTGACGGCAGGCCCAATGGGACGAAGGCTGTGTGGAGCACGACGTCGCTTCAGACGCTGAGAGGACCGTGGCCTCAACAGCGGAGGTTGGGCGTCCGTGACGGTAGGCCCAATGGGACGAAGGCTGTGTGGAGCACGACGTCGCTTCAGACGCTGAGAGGACCGTGGCCTCAACAGCGGAGGTTGGGCGTCCGTGACGGCAGGCCCAATGGGACGAAGGCTGTGTGGAGCACGACGTCGCTTCAGACGCTGAGAGGACCGTGGCCTCAACAGCGGAGGTTGGGCGTCCGTGACGGCAGGCCCAATGGGACGAAGGCTGTGTGGAGCACGACGTCGCTTCAGACGCTGAGAGGACCGTGGCCTCAACAGCGGAGGTTGGGCGTCCGTGACGGCAGGCCCAATGGGACGAAGGCTGTGTGGAGCACGACGTCGCTTCAGACGCTGAGAGGACCGTGGCCTCAACAGCGGAGGGTGGGCGTCCGTAACGGCGGGCCGAAGGGGACGAAGGCTTCGTGGAGCACGACGTCGCTTCAGACGCTGAGAGGACCGTGGCCTCAACAGCGGAGGTTGGGCGTCCGTGACGGCAGGCCCAATGGGACGAAGGCTGTGTGGAGCACGACGTCGCTTCAGACGCTGAGAGGACCGTGGCCTCAACAGCGGAGGTTGGGCGTCCGTGACGGTAGGCCCAATGGGACGAAGGCTGTGTGGAGCACGACGTCGCTTCAGACGCTGAGAGGACCGTGGCCTCAACAGCGGAGGTTGGGCGTCCGTGACGGTAGGCCCAATGGGACGAAGGCTGTGTGGAGCACGACGTCGCTTCAGACGCTGAGAGGACCGTGGCCTCAACAGCGGAGGTTGGGCGTCCGTGACGGCAGGCCCAATGGGACGAAGGCTGTGTGGAGCACGACGTCGCGTCAGACGCTGAGAGGACCGTGGCCTCAACAGCGGAGGTGTGGGGGCCCTGGGGAAGGCCGTCAGGCAGATGAGGGCGGCGTCATCGGAGGGCGCGACATCGATCTGGGCCTGGACGATAGGCCCGGCAGCCGTATCGATCAACCAGTAGCCCTTTAAGCGGTGATCTTCGTGGCGAGCACGGACGACACGCCAAAAGGCGGGGCCGCCCAACAGAAGGCTGGGCTGGACGGTCTTGGGGACCAACGAGCTGAGCCGGGGCGGATGATTCGGTCGCAAGACTCGCGTAGAGATGGGTGCCACGATGATTGGCGTGCACAAGGTTTCCACGTCCAGAAGGCCATCATCGAGGACGACGGTCAGAGAAATGGTCCCATAAGTCCGCTGCAGGGTTTGGCCGCCAAAGGTGTTGACGGCAAGGGCGCAGGGGGGAGATTCGGTCAGCCCCAGACTGGTTTTCAGCTGATTCGTGGCATAGCAGCGGTTGGCCCCGGAATCCAAAATGGCCCAAACGGTAACTTGTTGACCGGTGAGGGGATTTCGCACAGGGACTTGAACGAGCAGCAGCGACGTGGGAGCTTGCGCTGCAGGCTGAGAAGCGACGGCGGTGGTCGCTTCCGGGAGGATTTCTTCGGCATTCGCCACGGGAGCAGCACAAGGGCGAGGGCTGGACGGCACGGGCGGGGGAACGGGAGCCTCAGCGGAGTCCCCGTGGCACACCAAGTCATGGTGGGTGCCTTGGCAACGGCTGCACCGTCGGGAGCACGAGCAAGGGGGCTGACCCGGTTTGCGACGACGAAGACAGCGATGACAACGGTCCAGGCGTTTCAAACAGGCTAGGCGGGCTGCGGGAGTCGTGACGACGGGGCAATCCCGAACCCGATGGAGTTGGGGGTCCTCAGGGGTGGAGCAAAGGAAGCATGGAAGCTGCGGGGTCGGACGGTTCGGGCCCTTGGTGGGTGTCCCCCCGACATTTTCCACATGCGAACTGAGGGTCGTCGTCGCCGAAACGAGCGGGCGGCCCAGTGCCACTGGCTTGGCCGGGGCGAGTTCCACCAGTCGGGGCAAATGAGCCATGAGGGCATCCGTGTTCCAAAGAGCCGCGGTGAGACGAGCGCTGAAGAGGTAGGGCTTCATCCAGGAGGGCAACGCCTTCTCGATGGCTTGCTGGATGGCCCGCTGATTTTGATCGAGCCCGACTCGCTTAGCTTGGGCGAGGAGTCCCACGACTTGGTTTAGGAAGCGGGAAACGTCCTTGGGGTCGTCATCGGGGCAGCGGAGGCCCACCAGGCGATCGTAGATGGCGACCTTGCGGAGTTCTGGGGAGCCGAATTTCTCGCAGACATATTGCCACGCTCCGTCGAAGGCTTCATTAGAAAGGTCGAAGCCATCAATGGTGCCGGCAGCATTGCCGATCAGAGAGGAGCGAAGATGGGCCATCTTGGCCAAGCCGGGCAGGGGGGAGAGGACCACGGCCGCGGAGAAACATTGCTCGAAGGCGACCCATTCGAGAGGGTCACCGGAGAACTTCGGGATGGACATTTTCGGCAAGTTCAGAAACAGATGCCGGCCGCCTGGATCACCTGGGGCGTCTGGGTTCAGCCACTGCCAAGGCCTCGGCCCCGGCGCGGCGGCGGGGGTGGACCAAGGGCTGGCGGGAAGGAGCGGAGGTGAGGCGGGAGGACGCCGGAGAACCGCATCTTCGCGAGGTTCAGCTCGAGCGTCGGCGCCGGAGGCAGAGCCGGCGACGGGCAGGGTAAGCGGCGACTCGAGGCGGGGCGGGTCTGGCCGAGGAGCGGAGCCCGTCGAACGAGTATCATCAAGTTTGCGCCTCTCTTGGAACGCTTGGTTGAGGATTTGTTGCACCTTGTCGCTCGTCTCACCCGCATCCAGGAAGGCCTCTTCGGGGCCATCCTCGGCGAGCATATAGGCGGCCAACTTAGCATCTTCGGGTTCCAACCGTTCGGCGGGGAACTGGGCAATCAGAGCGCCCCAGCGTTGCTCATAGACCTGATGGCGGGAGCGGTACTGACGGGCGTGCTGAAGCATGTCCTCGAAAAACGCATGGGCGCCATTTTGGGTGTCCGCAGCGGCGCTGAGCAATTGGGCTCTTCGCTCCTCCAACACGGTATTCGCCTGCTCGTTGAAAGACCACCACCCAACAACCGCCTTGGTCCAGGCACCTTGGATACCCGACGTCATGGGGCGGAGAGGACGGCAGCCCGGCGCAGCGTATCGGCTCGGGGGCGACGATTAGGTCGGGAGTGGCGACCTTTTCCTGTGCCCTGGGGGAAGCGAAAAGCTTCAGAGGGGCCAACCGCCGAGCACCACGAGAGGGGCTGGGGCGGGAGAGGGCTCGGGGAACGAGGCCGAGCGCGGGGCGAAGGCACGCGACGAGAAGCGGGGCTGAGCTGGCGAGCCGCTTTGGAACGGCGATCGATTAGGATCAGGGCCGGAGCAGAGACGCCGGGGGCCCGAGGATGATAACGACGATTCGGTCGGCCGATTCAAAGCGAGGATTATAGCGCGACTCGGTAGATGAAGGCGACGAACGGCGCATCCGTGGGTCCGAAAGCACCCAAGGAGTACCTTAAGACTCGGAGCTGGGGGGGCTTATAACCGCCGGGGCGGGAGCACCGCACACGCAACTGCAAGAAAAAAGGCTCCGCGAGGGAACAAATCGAAAAGGGGTCGGGCACGGGAAAGAGCCGACGCGGGAGAGGAAGGCGACGAACGGCGCCTCGGTTGGTCCGAAATCACCCAAGGATGACCCTAAGACTCGGAGCTGGAGGGGGCTTATAACCGCCGGGGCGGGAGCACCACACACACAACTGCAAGAAAAAAGGCTCCCCGAGGGATCAAATCGGAAAAGGGGTCGGGTACGAGAAATAGCCGACGCACCAATGTAGAAAACGGTTTTTAGATATTCAGCGCGTTTCCTTTGAGTCGATGGTCAGACTGTTTATTCGGGCTTGCACTCACATATATATAGCCACGTAGGAGGGGGAAAAGATGTAGAGTGCGGAGAGGGCCAGAGGGGAGGCCATTAGTGGCCGAGATGGAGGAAAATGTAGGGGAAAAGGTGACCGTCCGGGGGGAGAAGGAGATAAGGGGGCGAATCATCTTTACGAAAATATTAGTATAAAATTCTATTTTCGAGTCAAACAAGTCAAAAATTTGCTGGAAAAACGCTCTGAAGACGGCAATTCGTTTAAAAACTGAAAAAATGCGGTAATCTGGCTTTAAGAACAAGTTCAAGACGTCCAGTGGTGGAGGAGCAAGAGAAAAACATTGAACCAGATTTAAAGGCGCTGGGAAGCTTGGAAATTGTGAATTTCGTGACAAGCCGATTCAGCTGTATTGGCTGGAACGAGAGAAACCGAGCGAGAGAGAGGGAGAGAGTAAGCCAAAGACATAGAGAGAGAGAGCGAGAGGGAGAGAGGGAGAGAGCGAGAGAGGCAGTGAGGGAGAACATTGCTTCCCGCTCCCTTTAAAATGCAGAAGAAGGGCACCGAAAAAAACGGGATGCTTGTTTGCCGCGGCCGGCCAGCTGGTCAACAAGGGTAGGGCGGGTAGAGGAGGAAAAGCCCGAGGATGCTGACTAGAAACATGATCGGCAGGGATGGGAGAAGCCCCTCCCGGGCAACACAGCCAACCCCCCGCTCTGACAATCCCTAGGGGGAAGGAATAGGAAGGAATGGGTCGAAGTCTCGGACTCCATCCACGTCTTCTGAATCTGCCTCTCTCTCCTATCTCTCTCTCTCTCGCTCTCTCTCTCTCTTCTTTGAAACAAATCCCCCTTCGCTTCCAGAAAAAAACCAAAAGGTGGGCGGTGTGGCCTTCGGGGGCCCAGATTGATGAACTGGGCCCTCGGATTCAGCTGCTCTGCACACACGCAGGAGGCTGATACCTCCAAAAAAGGAAGGGGGGGGGGTTCCAGAGGAGATTCAGGGAAATTTGGAACTTGATCATTGCTTAAGCTTGGGCCGACAATGAACTCTGAATTTCAACCACTTCTAGCAGGGTGGCTTGCAGAGATCTTTGAGGACGATAGAAAAAGCGACAAAGAAAGAAAGAGAGAAATAGAGGGAGAGAGACAGTGAGGTAGAGAGAGAGGGAGAGAGGGAGAGAAAGGGAGAGCAAGACAGGTAGAGCTAGAGAACGAGCGAGAGAGAGGAAACGAGCGAGCGAGAGAGAGTGAGAGAAAGCGAGAGCGAGAGAATGCAAGTTCGAGAGAGATAACGAGATTTTGCAGCTTTCAAAAGCTTGTTATCGCAGGTGGAAATTCCGGGAAATCGGCAAAGAGGGGTCCCGGAACGAACGGGCGGAACTAAAGGGGCCCTAGGCCTCGATATGAAAGATTCAAGATGATGGGGCCAAGTCGAAAAACACGTGTGTGTGTGTGGCCCGATAAAGCTGGGGTGTGTCCCAAAACGGGGGCCCCATCCTCCCCCACCCCCCTTTTCCTTAATATTTTCTCATTGGGGTTGAGTGCCCGTTTCCGCTGGGTGGCCGCGCGCGTTTTCGCGTCTTTGCCGCTTTTGGCTGGACGTTTTTTTGGGGGCTTCGGGCCGGGGAATCGCCACACACACACACACACACACACACACACACACACACACACACACACACACACACACACATACACAATTGGGCAGTGATGTGTGTGACAACGGGCCCCTGGGGAGGACCGGGAACTCCGGAAAGGTCGCCCCGCGGAGAAGTTATCCCGATTATGAGTCCGTGGTTTAAGGGAGTGGTTTTGATATCCGCATGTCAAAATTCAGAATGTCGTAAGTTCAATATGTCGGCATTTTTCGCACAGATATGGGGGTTTTCCGGAAATTTGCTTATGTAAATTTCGATATCAGGACTACCGGCATGATAAAATTTCGACACTTTTAATTTACTCGAGACAAACTATGAAGAGAGAGAGAGAGAGAGAGAGAGTGAGAGAGAGATGATGATGTGAGAGAGCAAGAGATGGTGTGAGAGAGCGAGAGCGAGAGCGCGCGGAGGAGAGAGTGCGTGCCAAATATCAACGTGTAGAAAATCCTAAAATTAGCTCAGACATTAAAGGGATGGTGCCAGCAAATTTTTAACTGGGCTTAATAGTATCTATTCAGCTTCAGTCACGTAGTAGACAACACAAAAAAGCTACTCAAAAGCTGGGCGGTCAAATTTGTGAGTCAATTGGAGGGCGGAAACGAGCACGCCGGGGCGGGGCCGGGTCGTAATATTTATAGACTGAGGGCGAGAGAGAGAGAGAGAGAGAGAGAGAGAGAGCAAGCGAGATACAAATACACATACACATACACCAAAGGGCCCGGTCCTCTTCCAGTTGCCGCTAATCCAATCGGGACACTTGTCGCCCCACACCCAGAGGGGGCGAGGGGGGAGGACTAACCGAAAAATGGCCCGGGGCCCAAGAAAGATTGGAAATTAGGGTGGCCCGGGAACACATTGACGAGGGCAGGGGAGGGGATTAGCCATCTCTAATCATCACCCACACACACCAAAATCCCCCTCGTCAGCTTGAAGCCTATAAATGTGGGATATTGAAAAAAACCTCAATAAACTACGAAGATAGGGTAAAAGGGATGAGTAAGGCAAGATAATGTACTAGAATTTGTGTAAAATTTCCTATATCTATTGGCTCTTTCTCTCTATCCCTCTCTCGCTCTCTCTCTCTCACTATTAGTTTATCCATCTCGCTCTCTCGCCCTTTGTCTTGGTCGTGCTTTCGCTCGTGCTCGCTCTTTCTCAGCCCATTCTCGCTCTCCTGCTCGTTCTCGCTCTCAGGCTCTTCTCCCTACCTCGCACTCTTTTTCTCGTACTCTCGCCTCCTATGGAGACCAAAATCCAAGCCGCGCTCAAATTTAGCTTGAAAATCAAGCAAATCACGCTTCCTGGCGATTAGAGCAAAAAACAAGGGTAAAATAGTGAAATTGCGATGAATATTCTAGGCCTGTTGGATCGCCCCATTCAGCCGTTTTCAATGGAGCCCGAGATTAGTCGGCCGTTTCGGTCCCACACGGTCGGTTAATTAATCCGCGGGCCCTTGATTTGCGTCAGGTACGCTTGCCGCGGACGAATTCTGTAAAAAATTGCATAGAATAGAGAGAGAGAGAGAGAGAGAGAGAGAGAGAGAGAGCGAGAGAACGAGAGAGAATGAATGCGAAAAACACCGAACACAGAAAACATTTCCGGTACGATCCCTTTAAAACGAACGTTTCTTCGCCAAGCCATCCTCCCTTTCCTGCCTCGAATCGGAAATTCCGAGTTTTGAGCGTCAGATATAGATGAGACTCCCCGCCCTGGCTGGCCCGTCCTCCTTCCCCGAGGGCCAATTCGTCTCCCCCTCCACTTCCCCCCTCGAAAGATAGAAGCCACAAGCAAAAGCTGTCACCTCATCCCGCCATCCATAAATATCCTCTCGG